ACTGGGTGTTAGTAAGGGGGAAAAGGTGTTAGTAGTAAGGTTGAAAATAAGTTTTATAAGTAGAATTTGGTATTGTAGTGACCACCAGATCTTAAAATAGACATTGGTGATACTTACTAGCGCATATTTTTGAAGCGCAAGAAGCGACTATCAATCCATATAAGAGTGTGATACTTGGTATTCGTATAAATATTCTACAATAAGCACGGTTTTACCAATCAGTTTGACTTTACATTATTATTCATGCTATCTCCAGTAGTGCACATCACAGTATCAATTAATAATTCATAAAAAATAATGGTTAATTATGCAAATGCAGGATATTTTCTTGTGGTACGTGCATTATATTTGTGAATGCATATGAAAAAGCGATATGAATTGGTAGTGTACAATCCGGCTGGTGGATATTGTCGGTTACAAAAAAAGTTATTGTCGGTCGCAGAAAAATGAAATTGTTGGTTAATGCAAAGATAAGTAACTTTAGTATATTGGATTAAATAAAAATTATAATTGATAGTAGATAATGCCATCACAGTAGTCAAATAGAAAATATTCACTAATAAACATTTATCACACAGTCAATGCAGCTTTACATTGACATTGGGTCAATCTATATATCGAATGAATTTGGTCTTTCATTAAAGCTGCGTTAGTAGCATACTACTGACCGTAAACTTATATTCATGGCTCTGCATAATTCAATATCGCTGCGGTAGTAAATAGATATAGATACTTCATTCTATTTTACCTAAAATAAAGGGCTCAATTCACAATCTGGTTAATTCTACTGATTTTTGTTTTTATAATTTTTTATTTTCTGTGATCTGTATCTCAGATTCTTCGCCCACTACACTCCTTAAGCAACCAACTAGCATTTTATAGGCGCATGTCCATTGAAACTGAGGGTGATACATTATGGCTATGGCACTCACCAATTGTCATCTTCCGTCACCTGCTCCTACTCAAAGTTCAATAATAGAGGGTACTTGTATTGGAACAGCCAACTTTCTTACAGAAAACAGTTTGGTAACCACCCTTTTTTATATATTGCTTAATAAATCTGCTACATTATTAGACATTACTTTTAAACGTCGTAAATGCCATTGTTGTAATAATCAAAAAACCATTATTTTCAATCCACATGTTTTCCTGTAGTATCTGTAGCATATCCTTTGATAATCCAAAAACGCTTAAATCTCATACTAGAGATCAGCATTCTTCATCTCTGAGCATCTCCCTTTCCAACGGTATGTTGATCTGTTAGACTTTAATTAAATCTAGCAATTGAAAAAACACTTCCTGGCCAAACAACAACCATCTATAGACAGAGCAATTCAAGATGTTAGATGTAAATGCTTTCAGACTTTCTAAAATGTGCATTCAAAATTTTAGTCAGCAAATCATTTTTTTTTTTTTGGCTCATTCAAGTCCCCTAAACATGGATCAGTTCTTTTTTGATATCAATCAAGGAAAAGAATATAAAATATTGATTTATTGTTATGATACTTATGTGATATCCATGCTCAAGCATTTGGGAAAAACCTCTAGGAGTGACAGATCCACCCTCTTCAGTTTCCTGCCGTAATTGCCTTTGCTGTTTGTTCTATACCAAAAGTATGCACCCAGTAACATGTCACTACAATTAGCAAAACATTGAATTAGCAAAACTTGGGTATGTCTCTGATGTTATTGATGGCGTAGTATTATATACTGCAAAGGGTATGTATAAGTATGGATTGATTAAGAATAGATGTTGTCAAGACACTAGCTCTGTTGAGGGCGCTGTCCGTGAGCATCATTAGGAAATATGCTTCTTACAACGCTAGACCTCGTTTAACGGATGCTGTCCTAGCGGACTAGCATTATATCACAACCTAGATATTGGATCTCGAAATCGCTATGGCCAAGTGTATCGCTCGCACTATTGTCGTTAACTGTTAGAATCTATCAACTTACTCAAGATTAAAAGTTGGCTACACTCCGACATTCGACTAGACTACGTTCTCTGAGTTCATAAACTTAATGCCATTAAAGGTTCAAGAAAACATCATGGCTTTCTTCATTAAAGTGTAGCGCACAGGTGTCGCTGAAATTCATGAAGTAGATAGTCGCCAAACATCTTTGTATATCAATTTTAAACGCGAGCGGCAGTTGTAGACAGGCAAATCACTCTTTTGGATTATGGGCCGCTTGTAACTTTTATTCGATGCACCACTGTCTTCAATTTGCTCAATACTATAGATAAAATACTCATTCATGATACTTCAAGAAAAAATTGAATATGTTACGAAATTTTAGTGGTTTATCTAAATCACTGTCGAATATGGCCATAACAAATTATGTGTATGCTGCTTCTGCCGATGAGAATTTCTTTATGTTGTAATATATAATAGACTTTTATTGATATATGTGAATTTAAGCATAAAGGAATAATATCATAAGGTACTATAAAATTATCATGACACTGGACATCATGGCGTTGGCATAGACTTGATCAGAGTGGGGGAGGACTGGTGTTCCATTGAATTTATATCAAAAGTTGGACGTGTAATTAATTTTACACAATCTTCGACACGAAACTATGGAAAAAACTAAAGTCAGTATATCTTGCGTACTTGTTGGTACCTCTATTTGGTTTTTCTAATCTTCATGACCAACGGCATTGCTAGTACCTCCAACGTTTTTGGGAAAGTATTGACATTACAGCCAACTTCGAAACTCTTCGATCGAGTTAAGCGGCATACGTATCCTTTTGGGTGGGTTGTAGTAAGAAACTCAATGACCAAAGCTAGCTCTAATAATCAGTAATAAAATAAAGGTGATTTTTCAAGCACTTACCACTTTGGATGCATCCTTCAACTCCAATCTGCTTAATTTTTTGCACATCCCAATCAACATATTCGCGCAAGTCAAATAGCATATCTTTCAACATTCTTGGAAGCTTGATTGTGGATTCATAATAGTATTTTTTGTCAGCAGGCCCATTATAATATGAAGCGGCCTCACATGCACCAAACTTCAACGGTTTCCTCCACCGGAAACAATACGAATCGACATATCAGGCTTTGGTCCTGTTTTTTCTCTCTCAAATCTTCCTTGAGTTGTACGTTTCCTTATGTGACTAGAACTACTTGCGAGGTCATCCCTATACGAACGTTCAATAAAATAGCAGGATATATTCGAGTTGGTGGTTTACTTAATTTTGAGCATACCTGACACAGCTTATTCTATCAACGTTGTCATAGAAGCTATCGACGAGCGGGACCCATATGTGGCTGTTATACTATGATTCATCCTGTTCTACCAGAAGAGGATTGGGATTTTTCTGATATTTGTGTAGTCTTATTGTTTATCAGTTATGAGGTATTGGTTGTTGTTGTTGTTAGTACTCGGTAGTGTGTAGAATAAAAGCAAAGAAGTGAAGAGTCTTTGTTTTATCCTTTTATTAGAAGTGAGAGAGAAGAGCTCATAGCAAAAAGAAATTAGTGGGCGAAGAATCTGAGATACAGATCACAGAAAATAAAAAATTATAAAAACAAAAATCAGTAGAATTAACCAGATTGTGAATTGAGCCCTTTATTTTAGGTAAAATAGAATGAAGTATCTATATCTATTTACTACCGCAGCGATATTGAATTATGCAGAGCCATGAATATAAGTTTACGGTCAGTAGTATGCTACTAACGCAGCTTTAATGAAAGACCAAATTCATTCGATATATAGATTGACCCAATGTCAATGTAAAGCTGCATTGACTGTGTGATAAATGTTTATTAGTGAATATTTTCTATTTGACTACTGTGATGGCATTATCTACTATCAATTATAATTTTTATTTAATCCAATATACTAAAGTTACTTATCTTTGCATTAACCAACAATTTCATTTTTCTGCGACCGACAATAACTTTTTTTGTAACCGACAATATCCACCAGCTGGACTGTACCTGTGTAGTGCCCTAAATTAAAATCGGCGTGATTGCGTCACTATGGAAACAACAAACAAAGTTATTAAACTTTATTGACAACCTATTTAATATCATATGAAAGAAAGTAAGATAAAGAATATAGCAGCAAAAATCATATGACATCCTTATATTTTGGCTCTACTTCATCTCACTTTTGATCCTTGTTACTGTGTACGCCACGGCATCGGGAGCATCGGTGTAACATACGGGGATTAAATTAGTTTTCTCTCAGCGAACTGGTGCCTTAACTTGAAACTCTTTCCACCCTTAAATTTAGAAATGAGCAACATCAACTACAATGCACTGAATCAATCAATACAGCGCCATGACAGCAGTTACTATCAGCCTATAATTCTACCAGATCCACTTGAGCGTTACGGCTCTGCTCATCTTGACCAAGATATTTTTGGAATTTCAGTTTCTAGGTCAACCAAAGATCAGCAAATGGGTAAGTGTGCAGGACCAACCAAAAGCTTGAAATGACTAATAAAAGGAGAGAATAGCTTTTGTAAGAAAAGTTATATTAATAACCGCAAGTCAGCTCTTATCTATATCGTGTATGACGTTTTTTATTGTTAAAGTCTATCCATTGTTTCAGTGGCTTAAAGATAGGTAAGCAAGTTACATACATATTTTCGTGTTTATTAACTTTATAGTGTGTATGTTTGGTGGATACCTCTTTTACCTGCCGCTATAGTTGCGGCAATCATGTTATGGCAACTCTGGACGCAGTATTTTCAGTTATCACCGAGGAGTAGAACTGTGATGTTATCCATCTATAGCGTGTCGATGTCTATTGCAGCTTCACATATGAGTAAGCACATAAAGATGTTATAATACACAGTACACTTATACAAACTATAATAGTATCAAAGTTAATTTACAAGGAAGGTATTCTAGTGGTCATGATGTCTACATTTGGTCTCTTTTGTTTACTCTTTTATACTTTGCAAAAGAAGTTTCCCTTCTCTGGAGCATTTCCATTGTAAGTTTTTTATTTTATTTTATTGCATCCATTTAATAACAAATGGGATATAGTGTCTGTAGTCTAGGTTCTATCTGCCTAAGTTCTCTATGGTTTAGACATCTATATGAGATGGACCCGTTAGAAATTATATTCCCAATCGCAGTTTCCAGTTTGACATGCATCTATGTGATACTCGAACTTTATTTTATTATGAAGAATGTTATGTCTGAAGATTATATCCTTGCCAACATATATCTCTTTGTTGATTTTGTATATCCAATTCGATTTATACACCACTTTTGTGAATTGACAGACAACATGAATGTATTCCCAGAAATCCTATACCCAGGAGATGTTTAATAGATTATTTATATTTAATTAAAGTGGAAGCGATGGTTGCCTATGAAACCCTTTCTAATTTAGGCTAAACCACTGGTCATGACAATCAGAAAAAAAAAACTCATGTCGACAAGCCCGGAAGTTCCGTTTTGGAGAGAGAAAAGAAAATGTTCTCGAAAAAGCTTAATTTACTTTACATAAAAAAAAGGAGACTTACGAACAAAAAAAAAAAAATAGTAACAAAGAAACATCTCTTTTGGTATTTGTTTTTTTAATATGTAAAAAGGATATTCTTCAAGGTTTTACCAATCCTTCTTGATATCAAAGAACCAAGTCCATTCCATATGTGTAACATTATCATCATCGATGAATTTGCTCTATTAAGGAGGTGATGAGTTGCTCAAAGAAAAAACAAAAAAAAGGGGGCGTTACCTTTGCTTCATAATGGCCTCTGGCAAGAAGACCTGAAGGAGCTTCTTCAAGTTGGAATTTCTTTTCGTATGAATTGGCTGAAGGACCATAGCTTCCGATCATTTCTTCAGTCTTGTCAACTAATAAAAACATTAATTATCAAATCATATAAAATAAACATGAAACATACCTCGGATACCCTTTCTCTTCACAACCTGCAAGTATTTCAAACCGGATACGACATCATGTTGAACTCTTTAAAGGATATAAATAGCTAGCTTATTTGGACGAGTTTTTTCTTTTTACCTGAATTTGACCTTCATGCGGTATTCGACACCTTCCTTGATAGTAAAAGGTGCAGACTTGGCTGCTTCAACAGCCTCTGTTGAATATGTTAATACCAGATGCTGTGGACTAAAAAAAGTGACTTACGGGGAGTAGATAAATCGACAATAACATCAGGACGACCTTCGACTTCAAGAGCAATATGTTCGACGATAACCTACGTGTTTAAACTTAGTTTGACAATCAAAAGAAAACAAGAATAAGCATACTCGACGATGATCATCAGAGGGACCTGAATGATGATTAATATAAGTATAAAGAAGGAGGGGGAATATCACTTACCATTTGTAGCGTTATTCAAACCAAGAGATTCCTTCCACTTCTTCAAACTCTCATCTTGAGCGTCCAAACTCTGGTATTCTTCAAGGGTCTTTTTTTCACCTGGCTTATAACCTGTAGTTTGTGTGGGTGCAAGCTCATCTTCTTCGTGATGGTCAGTCATGGTATACGAGCTTGTTTATGGAAATAAATATGGGAAAAAAGAAAAAAAAAAAAAGAAAAGGGCGAGGTGCTTCAAACGTAGCTAAAAAAAAAGACGGAGTTTAAAGGTTTTATTTAGGAAAGCTCAAAAAGTAAATTGACCAACAAGAAAGGATATGTCCTATTTTAAATGGCGAAATAGAAGCAATAACACTAAAGTGAATCAGCAAAGAGCCAAGGATATCATTGAATAGTTTATTTTTATTATATTTGAATGGTTAAAGAAAGAGAGGAGAAAAGGAAAGAGGAGGAAGTATCACTCGTCTATAAGCTAGATGAGAGCCAATAAGGGAGAGGATGAACGGCCCCCTTTTTTTCTTTTTTAAACATAACGAAAAGGTGTTCTTGATGCTCTGGACTTGTCAGCCAACTCACTGGACATGGATACACAAGTTGAAGCTTTGCCAGATGACATAGCATTTGTTTGTTTATCCAATAATTGGTTGTGATACTGTTTTGCGAAATGCTGGAGCGAAAAGGATAGAAAAGGATAGGTGACAACAGAGAATTTCAATGATATTACCTGTAAACAGCAAAGCCATGTGCTTGATCCTCGAGGTTAAGAGAGGTCGTAGTAGATGACCGGAGTTTGATGGATAAAAAGGTTGGAAGGTGCACAAAAAGGGACAAAAACGATCCAAAGTGCTGACAGTTTAATATCTTTTGCCAGGAGAGCATGTTACTTTATACATCATGTGACTAGAATAAAAAAAATGGTATAATATAGCGATGTTATGGGGAAATATAGGCACCTTGGCCGCAATTTAAAGAGTATCTTGACTGTGGTACCATAGTTTGTAGTAGGGAATAATTGTGATCAGTGTATTTTCTCGATCCTTCCATCCCTGCAGAGCCTTTTATGTAATTAATCCAGAGTTGATCAAATATTTATGCTTTTTCTAGACCGGTTATCAATAGAGTTTAGATTCCTTGTTAGGATAGAGGCACTAAGACTATAATGCTACAAGGAATTTATAATAGGCTTTTTGCTTTATGTCCCTTTATTCATTTACGTGGAAAATATGCAATTATATTTTATCAGTAAATACAGATATTTACCTCTCTATTCAATATATTCGATAATGCAACAGTCCTTGACATACTTGTAGACACTTGGGCTTTATACCATGATGCTTATTAAAAGTTTATAGTATTACTATGTTACGCCAATACAAAATAACCCTTTTTTAGAATATCCGTGACATGTTGAATTGCCGTTTAAAGCCGTTATGTGTTATGCTCGCGCGACTTTATAAAAAAAAAGAGATGTGTAATGTATTTCGCTTTATTGTTCAAAAGATCAAGAAGCAACGACGGTCAATTTGCCTAATTGGACAGCTGCTTCAAAACTTTCGGTTGTCAAATCTGTTAGTTGGTTTCCATCCTTTTTATATAATAACTGAACCGGGAAGCCCAGTCGACTTGTTACTTTGTTTTGTAAAAACTCTAATGTGCTCGGTACTGGCACTTTGATGGCGAATATTTCATCCTTGTAAACTATTTTGACTTTGATTGTTGGTTTGGCTGTTGAAGAAGAAGAAGATGACGTTGCTGTTACTGCTGTATCGCTAACCGTATTGACTGTAGATGATTCGTTGGGATGAGTAGATCGTCCTTGACTAGGATCTACGTCTGTTTCGACATCGCCTTCATGAATACCAAATAGTTGATCTTGAACCCACGTGCTTTCCGATAGATATTTTGGTAATTTTAATAAATCTGCACAGTATGTAGATAGATCTCTGGCTCGTTTCTCTTTAGATCCCTTATTAGTATATCGTATTACCATTTTTAGTTTTTATTTACCTGTTATTTCATCATCCACTGTGTCTAATGGTCCTGGCATATAAGGCAATATCCTCTCTTGATCTCTCTTCCCTGCTTCAGCTGGAAATTCTTGTAAAAAGTTAATTTGAAAGTCATAAAAATCTATGATTTTGTAAGATATGATCCATATGTCTAATTCTCATTCTTTTACCTTCGTAAAGTCGATATAAAACTCGATACTTTCCATTCTTTAAGCGTGCAAAGACAATAAACCAGTATTGATCTGCTTCTAATATATAAGAGTCGATATATGCTGATACGACGATAGATCCTTCATCATGACGTGAACTTGATGAAATAGACGTAGCAAAATAATCTCCATAGACATCATCTTCCTCAGTAATTGTCATTTGCTGCATCTGGTTTTCTAGTTTACCCAAAGGCATACTCGACACTTCATGCCCTAATCCTTGTTTCTTCCAACTGTCTACATTTTGAGGTGTGTGATTGCTTGTTGCTATAGATCGTCCAGTAGAAGCGTCGCGAATGTCTACATATTTAACTGGAATCAAGCCAGGGCCACCTAGACGTTCGATCGGTTTCGCCACATACCATTCGGGATTAGGTTGTGCAATCACAATGATTGATTCTCCTGTCTTTGCGCTTAATTCATCTGATCTTTGTGCGTGGAAATCGTAGAGGACAACTCCATACAATGGCTGAGATTTATGTTGAGCTAACAATGATTGAATATACATGAGAAATATAAGCCTCACATCAATAATACCTTCATTATGATCTGCTAATCCCTTCTTTGACCTCGAATCAGTCATTGCTCTTTCATCTTTTTCTAATACTTGGAAATATTGTATCGGCACTATACCACGTGAATTTGTGATGGGATTAAACGCCTCATAGAAATAATGATCTCCTTCTCTTCCTGTCACTAGAAAGAAATCGCCTCGTTTAAATGAAAGCTCATTTGGACTTTGTGCATGATAGTCATATAAAGCTTTAATCGCTTTGTTGGGTGTTGATAGTGTGGTTTGCATAACAGGTGTCGATATTTTGTTTTTCACTACTGAAAGCCGAGCAGTCCTTAAGCTACGTGGAGGCTTTACTTTTTCTTTTGGTAAAAACATTGCTTGTTTGATAATAAAAAAAAATAGAAAGAGAAAGAAGAAAAAAGGAGAATGACCAACGAGAAAGAAGTTCAATCTGGCTGGGTCACAATTAAGTTACACACACTATATGTTGACTGCTGGTTGCCCCCGGATGATCGCCGGACTGTAAAGCACACAATAAGAGTCTGTGTTACATGACAACCATTCAAGGGAAAGATTACTTTTTATTAAAGTAAGCATTGTTATCATGTCCTCATACAGCTCAACAAAAGGGTTGGTAGACTTTTTATCGCATGTTGGTAATTCTTTTGCTCTTTTTGATCGTTTGTGTTAGGAGGCACTCATAAGTAAAAGCCGGGGACTTTCACAATTCCATCTAAACCCGAATCTAGGTACTTGTAATTGAAAGTAACGTTACAACACTCCATTCTACGAGCTTATTTTAAAATTAGAAATAGATAAGACACAAACCATGGAATTTTTAGCAGCTATTGGACTCACTGCTTATAAAGTACTCAACGCTGCTTAACAATTAAAGATAGAAGCATTCTATATACAGTTTAAGAAGGAGAATGAGAAGTATGACAATAGAAACAGTAGTAGCATCTTTTTCTGTAGCAGATACAAACTTGATATCAGTAAACATCATTGCATCTATTAAATACAGTATAGATAACGCATACAAGGCAAGGTATGGTTTACTTGAAAAATCTTGCTCTTCATAAGAGCAGTTCATTTTGAACAAGAATATTATTTTTTTATACAAGTTTGAATGTTACTAAAAGTAGTCATTTATGATTGGATAATTAGAAATACTGAATAGTATAACGTAATGGGCTTTTTATCACATAACACAGGACAGACATGGCCATAGCTTTAGCTTAAGCCATGATCAGATATTATATTCAGGATAGGTTTGTATTCAAGTATATAGAATATGTTGATCATAAAGTCAAAGATCAGCCAAAACTACACTGATACGTTTTAGATGATAAAGTATTTCAGTAATGATTATTTTTTATTGAACTCGTGCTTTTTTCAGTTCTTTATCTTGGTTCAATATTATTTGATATTAAACCAAGATAAATTAACAGGATTCACCACGAGAAGGTAAAAGCATAAGAATCCCAAAAAAATATTCCCCAGATAAAGTACGACAAAAGATCGAATAAAAACTTCCTTTGTTATGGGATCGATGCCGAATGGAGTTGGAGGAGCAATAATGAAGATCTTGGTGGGTAGTATGCAATCTATGACAATAACAAGAATGCGTGTGGCGAAAGGGAAAGAGCTAGAAACGGGAAACTTGTATGCGGCCAAGTAGTATAAATAAGGAAAAGATCACAGTGCAGAGAGGGAGAGGAGATAAATGGCTTGAGGACTGTTGTTTGCCAGTGTTTTACGGTGTTGATCTGAAATTGATGTTGATTTATTGGGTAGCTGAGGATTTTGAAAGTGATATTGCTTATGCTGAACGGAATGTTGTTGTTGTGGAGTCAAAGGCGATCTATCTACGGCATTGAGAAGTTGCAGATGATTTTGAGCGCTAAGACTCAATTGATAAGATTGATTGTTTGTGTTTCCGACGGAGAGCGTTAAGTCGACTTCAGAAGATTATTATATCATTAGGTTCTTGTGCTGGATGTGTTGTTATTCCAGTAGCATTAGTGTTGTCAAGGCTAGCTATTTTAATGGTGAAATTATGGAGCGCTGGGATCAATTAAAAGATAATTGTGGACGATATTTCTTCCCGAGTGATCTTGTTGAGATATTTGCTGGTCATAGATATTGAAACTGGTTTCAAGGTATATAAAATGGGTCGGTTGGTGCAGTCTCTTGGCCCGGGTTTTAATAACTGGTTTTTGAAGGAAAATCGTTGATTTTGTTGGTAATCAAAGTATTGTTGTATGTTATGGAAGACGGAAGCGTTGATTTGATAGATGCTCTTTGTAAAAATTCGCCGTAGTCCTCCATTCGTCATAACGTAGGTAATGTACTGTGCCTGAATGGTAACATTGTATTTTAGATTCTATGATATAGTTTCTTCGCAAGGTATATTTGATGCAGAGACTGTATATTGATCTTGTTTGCTGATATAAGCAATGAAATGTATCGCCTATGTGTATTATTGTAGCTTTGGTTTGTTGCTGTAGACGCGTCTACAATGCCAAATATACTGATTCCTATTCTCTCCAATTGATTGATTTGGGGTGCGTCCATTTTTGTCCAAAAACGAAAAGATGTTTGTTGTTGTGTAATGTAAGATTGGGCTGTAAGTCATACTGAGATAGTATTTCATTGCTTGAATATGCTGTGTTGATCCTGTTGATAAACTGTTTATTTCATGAGTCATATCAATTACCATGTGTAATATTGTGCTGGAAGAATAAAGTCAGAGCCGCGGATATTGTTGGACGCGAAGAGTATTAAGAGAGTTTCGATATCTGAGCACCGCCTGCGCTCATGTCCTTGGGTGATATGGTAGAAGTACTATCGGGCGATGATGCTATGACTCATTGTGTGATATATGATATTGGAAGGAGATTGAGTATTCTGGCTGCGTATTGTTCGTGATGTTTTGCTATAGTTACTGAGTTTTTTACTGCGAGATACAGCATATCTTCTGCTTAGGTGAATAAGTTAGTGGTCATTGTGCTCAGTTGTATGCTGAGGCGCATATGTCAGGTTGGTGTCAGAGATGTATTCCTTTAAGGCTTAATACAGATAGTAGGTCTTTTGTCTTTCTTCGGTATCGCGAAGATCGAAAAGTAACAAGTGGACATTATTGAATTTACCGCTTTGATTACTGACTTGTGGTGAGTTCCAGGGCGCTTACCGAAGAAAGATTGCTCGTTCTTGTGTACATAGTGTTACAGGAGTTCATTTGGCTGAAGATGATGAAGGCGTATGGAAAAGGGCTTTGAGCTTGTTTATGATAATATGGTTGATCTGTTGATTACTCTTATTCGGATCCATTCAATGGAGAGCCTGTCGACCGTTGGCTGCTGCTGCTATTGTTGTTGTTGCTACTGCTGCTGTTGCTGTTTGCTGTTGTTATCGTTTTGCTGTTACTGTTGCTATTGCTGATTTAAGAAGTTATGTTCTCTGATGGTAATATATGGTGGAAACTGATATTGTAAGCCTTTTTATCGTGCTTTTTCGTAACATATATGTTGAATATTGCTGAACAGTTGATGCTTAAAAGTCTATTAAGCATGTTTTAGAATGCTCCGAGGTATATGCAAATGACACCAGCGTATTCTTAGGATGTAGCCTGTGTATTCCATAATCATATACAGACACTTTTCTGGCGTTAGAGTTGTTGCCTTTTATTCTGATCTATAAATTGGTGTATCTGATGGTCCAAAGGTATTCTGCCACCTCTTTCTAGCTTGAGCTTGTGTACTGGTATGCTTTTGGCATAGTATATGAGTAATGATTATTATGCTCATGAATAGGAGAATATTGACAATTAGTTGCCACCCTCTGTTCATCGAGCGGTGCTGTCGCCTTTGAATAAGTTGAATAATCATTATTCAAATTGGTATCTGCTTTATAAGGAATATATCTACTTTATATGGGTGCTATAATCCCATATCAGCTGTTGTTGCTGTTGTGCGATCTATTATAAAAGTTCTTGTTTAAATAATGCAGCTTAAATATTAGCGTTAGTAAGCAAGGTATGTATAGAATGAAGAATACTTAGATGTCAATAATAAAGTGATAGAAAGAAAACAAGATACAAATTGCTGCTGGATGTCTTCCGCTTGGAGTATTCTGCGCTCGTACGGTCAAAATTGAAAAATGTATTTAAATAATTTCGACAAGCACTGCACTGCATTCTGATGTTATGATAAAGAGAAAAAGGTTTAACAAAATGGCTCTAGCTGATGACATACAAGACCAGTAAGCATAATATGCCTTTCGCTGACATTGTAGTAGATAACGTTACTGTAAGGAAGATACACTGTTGACATTTAATACTGACGGTACCTGAATAAAAATGATCTTTGCATGAATCAACGAAAAACTATAGAATTAATGAGGAGCATTTTGCTTCCATTGGCAACTTCATAACTGCATCGTGAGGCTGCTATTCGTTCTCTGCATGTCTGACAGGTACGGTAAGCTGAGTTGCTTTTCAAACCCATACCACAGGCAGAACAGTTAGTTGGGATTCCAGTAGCAACGTTGTTCATTACTATTATTATTTCTAATGAATGTAAGAAAAGAAAAAAGAAGGACGCCAATGAAATGTTTATAGACAGAATCTAATTAGTGGTCTATTTTAGTGATATACAATCTTTTCAGACAGTAAAGTCGCATTTTTGCAATGTTTATAATACAATTTATACGAAAAGGTGACAAGAGCATGATGTCTCTTTCAGGAAATAGTGTTGCGGTATTTTTATTCCCTTGAAAATAAGCTCAAGTGCAGCCATAGATAGATGTTGAAAAGTTTTTTTGGAGATAAAAAATTTATAAGCAGGCCAACGTTTGCCTTATTTGCGATAAATGAAAAAAAAAAAAAAAATCCCGTTGGTCTTGTGTTTATAAAGTAAAAAGAACTTTCTTTTATTACTATTTCATCAGTTCAATGTAAACATTGTTCAGCTCAAAGTGAGCAAGAGCGTTACATATTATGAAATATCTATGCTCAGCAGCCAAGTGTTTCCAAAGCGCAGCCCCTTCTTCATTTGTTATAGTCTTTGGAATCCCGTTAGCACATACTTTGATGTATTGATGCTCATTTCGTGTTTTTACGGATACAAGATCCATCGTTGAAATTTTTGCAAAATCAAACGCGTTATCCGTAGTCAATGATAACTTTTGCAAGGATAAATTACCCAAGTGTATCAGCCTATGTCTAAAGTTTTGAGGATTGCCATTCATACTGGTTTTGTACAGATGTAACTCTTTCAAGTTTGGAAAAAATATAGCAAGCTTCGTGGCAAAATCAGGATAACATATGGAGCATTCAAAACGCAAAATTTGTACTGATTCATAAACACAGTTATAAGTATTCTGTAAGCAGTGCCAGCGAAAAGTCAATTCCTGCAAGTTACAAGCCTTTTCTATAAATAAAGCGACAGTTTTTGACATAGTGTGCCCTATATATTCTTCTTCTAAGCACAGTTTATGAATGTTTGGCATTTTGCTGCTTGTAAAATCATTCTTTGCGATAAGACCATTAAACAAATATGAAGGTATGCTGATTTGACATTCTATTGTATGATTCCATGACTTGCGTAAATCTATGATGAGAACTGAGGAACTGGTTACTGTCCATTTAATAGAGTTGCATGCTTTAAGCTTAGAAGGACAACAGGCGACGTTGAGACAGTCATCGATCATTGTGTATATTTGTTCATTATTATCCCTGTATCTTACTTCTGCTTTTAATGTTAAATAAACGACTTCCTTCTGAGGTGTAAACAAAAAATCCTTTAGCTGCTTATAGATTTCAATAAAGTTTGCTTGTATCGATGTTATTTCGACCCAAAAGGCTACATATGAAAGGTTGACCAAGCTTGCAGTAATATAATCAACCAACACCTTGGGTATCAAAGAACGGCATTTAACATTTAAAGTCTTCAATGAGGGACATATAGCAAAGTCAACAGCCAAGCTTGAATTATCGTTCATGTTGGTATACAGGTCTATTTCGGTTAAATTGGAGCATGTATTACAAATGAACATGAAATCTTGTATGTCTGTGATAACTGCAGTTGAAGGTAAAGCCAGCTCTTCAAGTAATGGAAAGTCTATTACAAAATGAAAATCCTGAATGTCCTTGAGCCATCGTATGACCTTGATAGTGTCTTTATACTTGTAGTAATAATCCAATGTAAACCTTTGATTTTCAGTATTTCGATCAAGCCTACGAAGCTTCCATTTTATATTATCATCAACTTCAAGCAAGTAATAATACAAACTGCCTCTAAAAACAGACAAGGAAACGCTAACCGATGTAACCTCGGGGCAATATTTGACAAATTTTTCAAAGTCTACTAATGCTATGTACTCATCAAATATCCTTCTGCTCCTACCAGTAGTGACTCGTTTGACATATTTCCCAATCTGAACAAGTTGACCAGATGCTGGATTTGCGTGAAAGCTTATGAATTTGCCAATTTGAGATGTGTTATTGATTTGAATACTACGAAAAAGGTACGGCGTAGTCAAAAGATACCACAATACACAAACAAGTCGACAATTTTTAAGGGTTTTTCTTTCTGTGTGTTGAAAGACAAGATCAAGTATATCTGTTGGTAGCTGATAGATTGTTGTCATCGTCATGAGACGCTGTAATAAGGTAAGAAAGAAAGAAAAAATGTTCCAAAACAACAAAAAGGGCACAGCCTCGTCTACCCTGTATTGTGTTACTACTGAAATGTGTGACATTTAGTGGATTCGATACTTATTGACGACAGCTTTGTTGTTAGTTAAGTATGATAATAAATATATCTAAATACTCATACTTCTTCTAGTTTTCTGTATAAATTTTGGTTTGTAAACCCACAAAGAAAGAAAGATACTATAATAAAAAAGGGGTACAGTCTAGTGTAACTATCGTCTTTAAGACGAGTTTTCGCTACTAGAGGGTTGCATAAATTGGATGATCTTTTATCCAGTTAACCAGGCATAAGTATAGTTTAAGACTACACTAGCCGCTTCCAACTCGCTATGCTCGTTTTTGCGCATCGTCGTGCTGCCGCAGACTTAAGGACTTCTTAGAAAGGGCTCTTTCTTAAGCTGAAGAACAGCTTAAGCTAACCTGCAGTCAACATCAGAGATTAGCACTCTACTTTTGGCCTTCGCGAAGATTTTTCTATATTGAGTTCCCAGGTATCAGCACCTTTCGGGTTTGAAAATGCTTCCTCTTCATTAATCTTCGAAGGATACTTTCTGTCACACAATTTCCTCACTGCAGACGAAATCTGGTCCGTGCTTACTTCTTTTGTTCCGATACACGAGCAAACCACAGTCGATACGGACGTTCTTAGTTTTTTTTTTTTTTTTGGTACGGGTATCGCAACTGCATGGAAAGGTCGCCGGTGTTGCACCTTCGATGACACTCTGTGGTACACCACTACAGTCTTCAACAATTTTGAACTGGAACATAGTGGATTTCTATCGCCTTTGCCTTTTGAACGGAAATCATCTTCCATTATAGAGCTATAATTTATTTTTTAAAAAATTTGTTAAATAAAGTTCACACTTCATACAAAAAAAGATATTAGTAGTATTGGTGATAGTGATTGCTTAAGAGTTAAGTTCATTGGCTAGGTTCGGAAATCTTCTGAACATGAAGCTAAAGAAGAATACGCCTAAATATTACTATGGTAGATAAATTAAAATGTCGAGCCATAGCTGACAAGACGTTTGTTTCACTAACTCCAAGGCAAATTAGCCTATGTCTGAGCGTGATAAATAAGGTACTATTTCGTTCGCCGGCGCCGGTGGCAACGCAGCTGATAAAGCATATGTATAAAATGATTGACCTCATACGTTATCCAGATATGATCGGATATAATCCTGGTCACTTTAGACTTTGCAAGTTTTTCTACGTTTGTAGAAATCTTGTAAACCATTTTATGGTAAATCTTAAAGATAGTGGCATATTGTGAATGAAAAAATCTAATCGTGTTAATTAAAGACAACAAAATCATATTCAAGTTATGTCTAGATAGGCTTCCAGTGGTTAGCGAAGTAGAAGTGTACGACATAAGCCAGCTTCTGGAAGATGAAGATTGTATTAGTAAATTTGATTGCCGCAAAGGTCAAATAAAACCTTCAGAGTTCATCCTAAATCGTAATCAAAGGAGGGCGGAGTATAAGTGACTGCTTTATCTTTTTTCTCTTTTCTCAAGTATCTCTGAGAAAAAAAAGGGCTTCTTCTTATACAAACAATATGAGACAATTAAAGCACCATGAACAAAAACTGTTAAAAAAAGTGGACTTTCTTCAATGGAAGAAAGACGACACACTTCGTGAAATAAAAGTGATTCGTAAATACTTTTTGCAGCAGAGAGAAGATTATCACAAGTAAGTAACAATGATTGACACAATACGCAGCCAGCTTATATGAATTTAGATACAACAAGTTAGTTGGAAATATTATATCTTTAGCAAACAAGATCTCTTTGTTAGATCCTCGAGATCCTTTCAGAACACAACAGGAAAAGGCTTTATTGGAGAAATTGTACAACATGGGCATTGTGAATGCAACCACCAAATTTTCAGATTGCCGTAAAGTGACAGTATCCGCATTCTGTCGTAGACGTCTGCCGATTGTTATGTGTAGATTAAAAATGGCTGAAACTGTAAGAGAAGCAGTGACATTTGTTGAACAAGGTCATGTTCGTGTTGGGCCTCAAACAATTACAGATCCTGCATTCTTGGTTACTAGAACAATGGAAGATTATGTTACATGGGTAGATACATCAAAGATAAAGAGAAAGATTATGAAATACAACGACAAGGTAATCTTAGAAGTTGTGTGTGTGTGCGTATGTTGATATTTAACCTCTTTTTATTCTTTTATAGCTGGACGACTACGATCTTTTATAAATTTTAAAGCATATCCCATTCATACATACGACTAATAAAATGTATCATCATTTACACGCATTATTGCTATATCAATGGAATATCTATATAAGCGCTTCGGATTTCATATTATCCTCGTTACCATCAAATAGATACACAACGTGTCTTATTTTATTCTTCTAAATTGTACAGACTATTTGAAAAAACTTCATTAAGTTGAATATGCCAATTTCGTTTTTGCAAGCTTGTAAAAGTCATTAGGGAAAGCAGCGTTGGACAACATTTATGTAATGGTATTGACATCTTTGCGCGTATTTATTACCTTATTACAGGCGTCTGATTTTCATCAACTACAGTAACGAAATCCAAATATGGAAATATTGTGTAGCGTTAAAATCTGTCTTCCATAATCCTATTTCCCTTGCTCTCTCTTTATTAAAAACATGCGTGCTTGGAGACATATCCCAAAGGAGCTTGGACGTCGTACATGGATGGTAAATAGATCAATATAGTGTACATCTTATACATAAGCTCATAATCATTGATAGAGTACAGCAGGTATTGAGCGTGCGCACAGAGCTATTCTCTTTCCTGGTAAGAGACCAACACGATCTGTAATCAAGAGCCTGTCATTTGACTAAAGAATGTCTCTAGGACAAGGATCTCAGTATGTTGGCATGGGAAAGGACTTGTATAGCCTCTATCCTAGATCAGCAAAGCTAGTATTTGAGGAAGCAGACGAAGCACTCAAGTATAGTTTGAGTCAGCTTATCTTTGAAGGAAAACAGGCAAGACTTTAATGTTTTTGCGAACTTTTTTATTTACACTTTTAAATACATACAGGAAGAGCTAAAGGTCACTGAAAATGCACAACCAGCCATTCTGACGACATCCATCGCCATACTACGCGCATTAGAAATCGAATTTGGGTTTGACATTTCAAAATCATCCAACCATGTCCTAGGTCATTCACTTGGCGAATATACTGCGTTGGTAGCCACAAAAGCATTATCTCTGGCTGATGCCGTACGGCTTGTCAGATTACGAGGTGAAGTCATGACACAGGCAGTAGCAGATAAACAAGGCAAAACAGCTATGTCTGCGCTCGTTGTAAGAAAAGATAAATTGGCAGAACTAGAAAAGGCGATTGAAGAAATAAATCAAAGTCTACCACCCGAAGAACTGGTCCATGTAGCAAACATCAATAGCGTAAGTTTATACATATTTTAGATGGAGGAAATATTAATAATGTTAGTCATTCCAAGTTGTTATCAGCGGCACAACACAGGGTGTAGATCAAGCTTCTCGTACACTTCAACAACGTCGCTTTGCCGCTCGTGCAGTAGATCTCCCAGTATCGTAAGTTTCAACAAGAAAATGAAGTTTAGTGACGCTGAGCTCTTGTAGTGCTCCTTTCCATTGTTCTTTGATGCAACCAGCAGCAGATGTTATGCGAGAAGCATTAAGTAAAGTTGAAATTAAGATGCCTTGTGTGGACGTGGTTAGTAATGTCACTGCAAGGCCGGTAGGTTTGACATGTGTGCAGTTGCTATGATATGTTTAACGTGTATGAAAGTAGTACTCTAGTGCTGAAGAAATTCCAAAACTATTGGTTGAACAAATTACAGCAACGGTACAATGGGAACGTAGTATTGGCTACTGCAAGGGACAAGATGTTGATGATTTTTTATGCTTTGGTCCCGGTAAAGTGCTGGCCAACCTTTTGAAAAAAGAGTATCCGTTAGACAAGATAAAGTAAGTCTATAATTCAATGCTTGAGGAACCCTCTGCTTACTTATCACTCTTTAAGCTCAATCACAAGTGCTGACGATATCATAGCACTTTCAAAGCAGTTTTATTCTAAGGAAAAGCCATCCTCAACTTGATTAAAAGCAATAGTACATTAATTAATATATAAATGGTGTATTCTACAAAGAGAGACCACAAACTAAAATAAACTCACCCTTGTCTATAATATACAGGATAACATAACCCTGACGACAATGAGAGCCTTGAGATGCGTCACTGCTACTTCAGCGCTGTCTCTTTAACCCATTTGAAACTTAATAGTCACATTTTTCCTGCAGATCGGATCGAGTGAAGCTCTGATCGATTGATCTTTAACTGTGTCCTGTTTGAAGAAGGCTATTCAATTGTTTTTTTAATTTACAAAATTATCCGTTTCAATTTTATTAAATTACCTTTATCAATAGCAATTAATAGGATTAATATGGCACCTGTTAAAGCAGCAAGTGCAGCTCTTAGTTTAGATACTCCTACAGTTTCAACAAAACAGATAAGATCTATCAAAGCCGAAGCCAAAACTACGAGAGTAGTAGATGTTGCACGCTATGTTCATGATGATCCGAGAGATTTTAAAGGAAGGCTAGGATATGCGTATGTTGCTAATGAATGATGAGCCTCTTTCTGAATCTAATGCATTCGTTTATAGCTGCCTCAATACTGTTCTTAGACATCAAAAACCGCCTGTGTTCTGTTCAAGAACATGTCGTCTAAGTAAGTTCTAAGGGAGTGGTTTTTTCTATTCGTACTTATTTCTTGTAGGTACTGCGCAAAAGAATGGTGTTGAATATTTACAAGAACTAGCATTACAGGTAAACAAAAAGAAGGAGATTGTCATGTCTCTTATATCTTTTTACATATAGAATATTGAGGATCTGAAAAAGTTGATACAATGGAATGAAGGTAATAACTGGCTCTTTTACACTGGAGTGGTACGGGTCATTCAAAGAAACTTTGTAGATAATCATATAAAGTTCATGCGCATATCCAGTGAAGTATTTCCTCTTGCAACTCATGAAAAAGTGGGGTATGTTGTAATCATAAGCTGTTTCTGTTTGTTTAATATTACCATAGTTACTCTATTGATTTTGCGAAGGATGCACTTGCTGAAGTAGGCGTATTAGCTAGAAAATACAATCATAGATTGGTATTGCCTTGCTTTGAATTATGTTGCATTAAGTCTAATACTATCTAGACAACTCATCCTGGACAATACAATCAGCTGGTGTCACTTACACCCAAAGTGGTCGAAAATACGGTTCGTGATCTGAGTCGTAAGTTGGAAGTATATGAAAGATATACACGTAACTTATCTGATCCATAGATCATGCTCAAATGATGGATTATATGGGACTTGATAAAGATGGTGTTATGATCATGTAAGTGTAATGTTTATTACAAAAAAATTCATGCTTACGAACTTAATCATTAAAAGACATATGGGCGGAGTTTACGGTAAGCACAAACACCAGATAGGCTGCATTAGTTGCTAATGGTCCAACTTAGGTGACAAGGAATCTGCTATAGCGGTAGAAGGCGTTATTACATCATTTAAATTTCGTTCTGACCTATTGACATAGCGATTTGAGGAACAATATGTAAAGCTTCCAGAACCTGTTAAGAGAAGATTGGTAATATAGACTTTATATACTTATAAAGCTCGTTCAGATCTTGACATACTGTGCAATCTTTAGGTACTGGAAAATGATGAATTTGGGTATTCCGTGTCTGATCTGCTTCCGGTGTGTAAGAAACTCAAGATACCTATTGTATTAGACTGGTAATAGACCGAATGCCTAGGTTAGCATCTGTGTTTACTTATAATAATCTTTATAGGCATCATCACTAGTAAGCTCTTGACAAAGCCTAGAAATATAAATAACAGATAACTTATATATATGTATCTATAGTATAAACCCAGGAGACATAAAAGATCTGGTCAGTGTTCTTCCAGAAATTAACCAGATATGGGCAGAAAGAGGAATAAAACCAAAGGTACGCATCACTCTTTCTATATAAATGACTGTATTAATCGTTTGTTTATACACACAGCAACATTATTCAGAATCACGAAGAGGAGCAAAGAGTATAACAGAGATGCGAGCACATAGCGATAGGCAAATACGTCATTATATAAAAAGTTAAATTATCATATACTAACTTGCTTATAAAATAGAGTCAAGGTATTTCAAATTGTTAAAGTAGAAACAAGAACTCATTATGTCTATTGTAGACTTTACCACCAACAACAGATGATGTTGATCTCATGATTGAAGCAAAGGATAAAGGTACTTGTAGCAATTTAAACAAGCCATTGTCTGTGCACTTATAAAAATTTCGGGAAACAACAGAGCAAGCTGTGCTTGAGCTATATAAGCTCTTTGATCTACAGCCAGTCAATGATGAATCTTACATTCCAATTAAAGGAACAGAATCAACACAGACAAAGGGCAGAAAAAGTAATAAAAAGGGTGCAAAGAAGATAGAAAAAGAAACGACAGATGTTGTTGAGTCAACAGTGGAGGAAACAGCAGAGCAGCCTGCTACGGAAGAACTATCGTCAACACGTAAAAGTAAACGCAAGGCTATAGCTGCCATGAGCGCTGCCTTGGACGACATAGATAATGAGGCTATGGTTACTAAAGTAATCAAGAAAAGGAGTAAATCAGTGGCCGCATCAGTAACTGATGGTAGTCTAATCACAGAAGAAACTGTTGAAGCCATGGAAGTTGATAATGCGACTAAATTCAAGAAAGGAAAAAAAGAAAAGAAAAAGAAGCATAATAAAAAATAATGGCTACTTTACACAATAAACATTATGAATAAAACTGCTGTAACTTGATTGTTCAGCAGTTGGCCCCAAATTACCTTTGTATAATTGAATATTTGCTGTATAAAAGGTACAGAGTGTTATGACTCATTTATTCGTTTATAGTTGCTATGTTCATTAAGTGAAGGGGGAATAATGGATAAAGATGAGTTAAAATGAGACATGGCCTTTTAAAAAAAGTTAATAACGATATCTTCTTCAAATCCTGAAGTTGATAACTTACCACATATGGCGTATCCGTGTGGGCTCTTAGAGCCTCCATTGCTGCTTCGCGGCATACGTTTTGGAGATCAGCGCCTGTATAATACTCAGTCTATATACAGGGAAAAGCGTTAATAACAGAGCTGATAGAAAGGTTCTGTTTAGACATTACTCGTTTAGCAATATTAATTAAATCAACATCTGAACTAAGTGGCATATTTCTCGTATGAATTTTTAAGATTTCTAGTCTGGCTTCTTCATCTGGAGGCGGTACGTAAATGATTTGGTCAAAGCGACCAGGTCGCATCAATGCCGCATCTAGCATATCTGGTCTATTAGTAGCACCCTACATCAAAGTGAATAAATGAATGTAATTCTGATCACGTATACTATTTACAATAACCAAGACAGAATCTGCACTCTCGACACCATCCATTTCATTTAATAGCGTGGACAGCACTCGCTCTTGAACACTATCTCCACCAGAACCACCACTCCCCATATTTCTTTTACCAACAATAGCTTCTGTTTCATCAAGAAATATAATTGCTGGAGCAGATGAACGTGCCTTTTGAAATGTTGTTCGAACTACATCCATTTTAGCATTGTCAATCAGGTCAAAGCTTTGTACATCTTACCAACTTTCTCAGAATCACCTACAAAGGCTGAATACAATTGTGCTCCATTGATCGAAAGAAAAGCAATATTGGTGGAAGCAGCGAGAATCTTTCTTGAGCTTTAGTATGCTTTTTTTCTATTGCGCCAGTCTTTTTCAATTTACCTTGACTAAACTAGTCTTGCTACAACCTGGAGGCCCATAAAGTAAAATCCCCCTAGGAGCTTTCAATCCTAATTTTGCAAATGATTCTTTATATAACAGTGGCCATTCAACAGCTTGCTTTAGTCTCTAAGTCATTGATGAGTCGTTATGCTAATAAATAAAGTCATTTATTACCTTTTTCACTTCTTTCAAACCTCCAACATCGCTCCAGTTCATCTTTTCTACTTGTACTTGAAATCCTCTTTGCATTGAGGGACCAACAGCCGCAAATGCTGTTACAAAATCAGACATTGTAACGAGAACTTCTCTATGTTGATTATATATATCAGTAAAGAGAGTTGATGTCAATAGATACTTTACTCTTGCAAGCTTTTGCTGGCTCTTTGAACAGCAAGTAAAGCTGCTTCTCTGCACACGGCATTAATATCCGCAGCAACATATCCATTCGTCATATTCGCCAGTGTTTCTATAAAGCGATAAATTTTTATGCTTTCTCTTTTGTTTTCAAATTGTAATACTTTACGTATATCAACATCCTTATCTAATGGTATATTACCAACCTGCGACTCGAATAAAGAATACCTATCGTCTACTGAAGGTGGCTCCATTGAAATTTCACGATCAAATCTAAAGCCTGTTAGTAACAGCATATTCCTACATCATGTAGATACTACCTTCCCGGTCGGCGAAGCGCAGGGTCAATGGAGTTTGGCCGATTAGTTGCACCTACAATGACCAGCCTACCTCTTGACTTTACACCGTCCATGAGAGTCAATAACTGAGCGACCATTCTGTTCTCTTGCGACTGTGAATCATCACGCTTTGGTGTCAATGCGTCCTATAAGAGTCATTAGTACAAGAAAAAGACCTTCCTTACCATTGACGCTTACTATTTCATCTATGAATAAAATAACAGGCAAGCTCTTTTTCATTGCATAATCTTGAGCCTCAACAAACTTGGCACGTAACTTTTCTTCACTTTCTCCAATATATGGTCCGTACACTTCAGGACCCTGTATGATAAACATCTTTGCACTACAGCGTTTTGCCATAGAAGATACAAGAAATGTTTTACCAACACCAGGTGGCCCATAAAGTAAAACGCCTTTTGGACATTCGATATTTAACTTTTCAAACCAATCCTTGTAAAGTAGAGGGTAGCAAACAACTTCGAAAAGAGCATCGTATGCTTTCTGTAGGCTGCTACTGTTTGAAAATTGCTTTGTATCCGCTGTAATTGACATTTGCTGAAATGAACGTTCAAGCTCTGTGACAGGCTCATTCTCTTTGTCTGTCAGAGAGATACACGTAGCATTTGATATCATGACATGTGTATCCTTTGGATATGTGTATTCTACATTGATGATAATCGGTGATGATGATAATTTTGATACTCTGCAGCCTGATCTAACAACAAGTCCATTCAACATGCGTTTTATATACTTTCTTTGTGTATCAGCGAAAGTGTTACTACTAAAGGATGTTGTTTCCTTACCGCAAGTCTTTGACGCTCAGTAGCTTCATTAAAAATGAATCCAAGCTGGGTCAACTGCTCTTCATCATTTAGCTTGTTTATTGTAATCCTTAATGATGCTTTTACTGCAATAGAGGGTTTATTGATGGGTATAATCGTAGTTGCTAAAAAGAAAGAAGGAGGGCTATTTAACTCAATGCTCAATACCATAGTGCCTGTCATACCTTGTTCTATATCTGCATCTTTTGTAATGAATGGGTCTACAATAATATGATTATCTGGTATTTTCGCTGGCCAAAGTCTACAAAAGTGTGTCTATTTGTGCTTGGTTAAAAGGTGTGATCTAGAATAGATCTATTGCATTTCAACCTTTCCTCCTTCAGTGTGAATCTCTATCCAGTTACCAGGCGATTGGCCAATTCTGATGAGATCTGTAAAGGAGATCTTTGCAGTGGCTGGCTTGACGTGTTCTTTGGTCAGAATGATCATTAAAACAGGTGTAAAAAAAGAAAGAAAGAAAGCTTGTCTGATTTTCAAATACGGTTTATTTACACACACACATTTTATTCTTGTTGCAAATTCTGAAGAAAGCTCAATGTTTCTTTGGTTTTCCTATTCAATTGCTTAATATTTAATAAACTCAATATATTAACCACTTACGCTCTTAATTCTTCAGCTCGTTGTCTCTTTTTTTCTATTTGATCTTCCATCAATAGTCTCAAGGTTTCTCTTGCTTGATGTGGTCGATACGCGTTCAAGATATGATGCATATTAATAAATATCGTACTGATATTTTCTATATATTTCCCAAACTGTATTCAAAACATAAGGAGTGTTGGTTACATTTACACACATTTGTTTTACCTCTTCTGGATTAGTCACCAATGTCTCTAGTAACTGTAAGAACTGTGTGATCAAGATTCTATTAAGTCGTTTCAATTCCTGCACACGATCTATGTCTCCTTCTTTGAACAGTTGCTTTACTCCAAGTTCACTTAATGTCGGTAGTTGATCTTGAATCTGCCACTTTTGATCAAAGACAGTATATTCTGATGTCGGAGGCTGTGGTGGTTCAAGAGATTCAAGATAGAATTCGGGTATTGATGGTAATGTAATGGGCTCTTTTGGAAACTGATTCTTCTCTTTAGCTTCTTTCAATAACTCCAAATTCTCGTCTGTATATCTTTTATAATAGTTGGGAGGATCTGGCCATGCGCTTCTTGTTGTTTGTTCAGACATTATGAGTGTAAAAGAATAAAAAATATGGATTTCTATCAGTAATGTCCTCTACTCCGATTTTGGGAGGACATTTGCCTTTCAGTCATACAACAGGATATTTTACAATGTTTTCTATTTGTATCTTTTAAAGTTGCGTATCATGATAATAATGTTTTAGTTATGACCTTACATAAGCGTAAATCACTAAGCCTATCTAATCTCATCTGGATCATATTGATAAAAATAAACCAGCTGAATACACTTTCCTTGATACGACCGTGAGTGCTTGTAACTCCCTTCCATCAGCAATGCAACTGATGATCATTGCATTGTTCTAGAGAATAAAATGCTTTATCAGATAGATGACTCAATAAGCTTAATCCTTATCAGAAAAATTCAACATCAAAGTTAAGATGTTAGATTTAACATATATGACTTAACCGGTTTTGTTAAAGATTGCTCAGTAAATAGAGTAACAAGAACAAACAAAATAAGTAATCTGTTTAAGAACTGTGTCTGAGCTTTGATGTTCTTTATTTGAACTATGGCAAGAGAAAATCAGCCATAGCTTTGGAGATTCTTATCAACAACATAGATAATAAATAGAGTGTAAAAACCAAGTATGGGACCTTTAATGATGCCGCTCTTATCACAAAAAGTCTGAAATGTACTCAGAAGAAACGTGGGCTGAATATTGAATGCTTTTATATTTTTTAATGGGTGATTTGCATACAAAACAGAAAAAGATGAGAAGTTTGAGGTGCTGGTTGTAGTTAGGGTTGTTGTTAGTACTCATGTAAATGTGTAGAATAAAAGCAAAGAAGTGATGAGTCTCTGTTTTATTATAAGTGAGAGGAAGAGCTCATAACAAAAAGAAAAATGATGGCTTTTCTCAATTCAAGGCATTAAGCCTTCATCTGATAATCTTCGATTTCTTTGTCATGCTTTAGTGTGGCCTACTTCCAGTTGAACAGAGCAACTGAACTTGCTTACGAGTGCTCTAGGAGTCGGCTGAGCGGGCAGTAATGACAATATCAAGGGATATTTGGTACTCATATGGTTTAGGATAGGCCAATGCTATAATTATCTGACTATACTGGCCAGCGTTAGAAGATATGAAGTTCTGTTCTTCATGTGTCAAGTGTGGTGTACTAGATATCAGCACCTGTCGATGATAGTTTTTGTGTTTATTGCTGGCATCTGTTGTGGACATTACTTGGTATATTCTAAATTTTAGTCTAAATGAATTGATGTCGTTGTCTTTCCATTTTATACAAGCCTTTTGATGCCTAATATTCTATTATGGCAATCTAGTGTTGTGGCCACAACTGCAAAAATATTTTGATATTGTTAAACCCAATGATATGAATGACAATAGGAGAGTTCAGATATTTAATTCTTCAATGAAAATAATAAAAATAATGATATTTATAACAACTTAAATAGAAATAGTATGTCCAGAAGTTTATGAATGCTTGGCATAAAAGCTTTCAGGTTCAGGCGAGGGCGGGGTTATTGAGGTATGAGGGGATTTCAAGAATCACGGATCCAACTCTGTTTGGTGAAGAGCTCATCATCTGACAGTTCTTGAATACAATGTTTTGTTGATTCCTTTTTGGATCGAACAGATGCAAGATGGTTTTCATACTTGTTACTAATTGTCAAACAATTATCTCTATGTACTTTCTGATCTGGCCCGGGCGGGACGAAATTATATAGTTTCAATGCGCTCACAGTGATCTTTTTATTCTCTTTAATAAACATAGTTGTTTAATCGTATCTTATGAGTATTATAACGATTAGTTTAGCTCCCTCTACCCACTCCCATTAGATTGTGTGTTTTCTCCCTCCACCATCAGTACCTTCTCACCCCACCACATTATTCACCTCACTTTGTTGAACTTGCTTGGGCAGTTTCAGTATAAAGATACTACGTGCCCACTTAGGTTTAATAAAAGATTGTTTAACCGTGTCTTATGAGCAAAAAGGGCATTAGGTTCAATGTCAGGCTTTTTAGTGATTAAAGTCCAGATCTTCAACTTCAGACAGTCCACAGGATTTTTAAAGCCTGGAGTTGACTTTTAAGCAATTAACGCCTTTTCTTTTTTTAAATTAAAATATGGTAAAAAGAAACAACTACAATAAAACAGAGACATACTGATATCAAAAAAAGATAAAAATCCAATGGGCTCCACTTCGAGGCATACCCCTTGAACGAAGGCTACAGACAGCAGCTATAGTTTGCTGGTTGAGTTTAATCGGAGGATGTTCTTTACTGTTCACTGTTTCCCTCACGATCACAGTCCTTTGGCCATTACATATCGCCTATCTAATTTATATCTGGATGGATCAATCTCATGAGAATGGCGGTCGTCGATCAGAAAGATTTCGCCGTTTAAGAATCTGGCACTACTTTGCAAATTATTTTCCAGTTAGTCTTGTCAAGGTGAGGGTTCTACATACGGCACAACCTTATTACAGTTACATCATTATTTTTGCTGACATAATGAAAATACTAGGAAGCCGATCTTGATCCTACTAAAAACTATATTTTCGGATATCATCCTCATGGTATTGTCAGTCTAGGCGCTGTTGCCAACTTTGTTTCTGAAGCAACCGGCTTTTCCGATCTATTTCCTGGCATCACACCCTTTTTATTAACGTTAAATTCGAATTTTAGAATACCCTTCTATCGTGATATTCTTCTGGCGATAGGTATGGCCTCTGTATCACGCCGCTCTTGTAGCAATCTACTGTCTTCTGGTCCAGGAACTGCGATTGTCATTGTCGTAGGCGGCGCAACTGAGTCTTTGAAGGCTCGTCCTGGTATTGCTGACTTGGTACTCAAGAAGAGACTGGGATTCATAAGAATGGCTATTCGTCATCAGGCTAGCCTTGTGCCCACATTTTCATTTGGAGAAAACGACATTTACGAGCAAATAGATAGTAGCAATAAAGGCATCATCTTGACACTTCAAAAGACTATACAAAAGGTTGCAGGATTTACAATGCCTGTATTCTATGGACGCGGTATTTTTAATTGTAAGTAGTATAGACATCTTTTTTTAGATACTAATGTACTACTCTGATAGACAGTGTAGGCTTGGTTCCTTTTAGACATCCCATTGTGACAGTTGGTAAGGGATGATGAATGATTGAGTGTATACATATATACTAATACATATTTATAAAGTTGGTAGACCTATTCCCGTACCAAAACTTGAACCAGGGCAAACAGAACCAACAGACGAACAGCTATTATCAACACAGGCTTTATATATTGAAGAATTAATGAATATTTACAACAAATACAAAGATATCTACGCAAAGGATAGGAAGCAAGACCTCCAAATCGTTGCTTAAAGCCGTTTAAATTGTATATTAAATCTATCGTCTTTCCTTAACAAATAATACAAGCCAAATATAAGCAATCAAAATAAATACTAAAAACATTGATGCAAGTCGGATGACGTCCGGCCAATAGTTCTTGGCATTGAATCCAAAGGTTGACAGAATCGTTGCTCCCGGAACATCAATCTTGAGTCCAAATCGTTCTTCGACAAGCTGCAAGTAAAGTAGCTCGTTGACCAGCATGGCCTCTAATGTATAATTAAAGAATGACAAGTACTTTAACCAACCAAAATAGGGTGGCATTGAGTCTATCATCGTATGTTAGCGGGATAAAGCATTAATCCCTGAAACTTTTTCTTACCTTTGTTTAAAAGTAAACCCGCAAAGAGCATAGAAAAGAGCATGACCATACATGCCAACAAATTAGCCAGTGATAAGTTTTTCACAATAATACCAATAGCAAGACATACGGCAGCGGCTGTCAAATTAAAGAGGATCAAAACAAGCAAAAATTTGAAGAATTGTGCAACGCCTTCGACCAGTCCAACCATATAATAAGATATTAAGGCCATCATCAAAGGGGGAACAACTCGAAGGGGGATGATATCGAAAAGGATTTTAGCCAAAAAGTAAGTAGTAGGGGAGTAGTAACCATTGGCTCTTTCACGAACAAAGAGAATACGTTCACTGGCAAAAACTTGTAATGAAGTTAAGCACATGAACCCTAATAAAGCTTCATAAAAGAAAAAGAGACCCATTCTGTTTTGAAATCCTGCGATTGTGTTTGATACTTGATAAAACAGGCTTCCGCATACCACTGTGGATAAAGTGAGATAAATAAAACAAACAAGTATAAAACTTACATGCCAAGATGACAGCCATAGCATAATGACTAAACATAAGCATGGGATTACGATACAAGTTCTTGAATGTTCGATTGGCCAGTATTTGGAATTGTGCCAGAGGTCCTGGTCTTTGATAGATACTGATGCTGTTTATACTACTTTGGTCGCCTTCCAGGCCTTGAGCTGCATCAACTGTGTTTTGAATGGCGTCCTTTATGACTACTGCGATAGCACTGTGCTGATAATATTCTACTAGATCTTTCAAATAAGACGGTAATCCATCTTCCTGTACTTCCTCTACTTGGATGTCTGGAGCAGATGTTACGTTACTGTTTCCTGCACTTGGCTGGGTGGCCCATTGTTCGGTTGTGTTTTCCAAGCCTTCTTGGAATGATGGAGTTGCTTTAGGTGTTTGAGAAGGGGCAAAGAATGCATTATCTTCATCTACGGCAGTGGAATCAGCTGTTAGTGATGACTTGACGATAGACGAAGGCTGGTTGGGTAACCTTCGGACAGCGCCCATGGTTAAATCGATCATGTAATCAGCAATATTGAACCCAGGAGGACAGGGATACCCAATAAGCTTAAAATATGACTGTGCCTCTGATTCAGGGCCTGAATAGACAACACGTCCACTAGCAAGTAAAAGAAGTTGATCAAATAAAGTAACAATGTTCGATCGAGGTTGATGCACCGTAAAGACAACGGTACGCTTGTAATTTTTCGCTAAATTAACCAGGCATTCGACAACGTTCAACGCATTATAGGCATCGAGACCACTTGTTGGTTCATCCAGGAACAATACAGAAGGTGATGTAACGAGTTCACAAGCAATAGCAACACGACGCCTCTCACCACCACTGATCGATCGAGCACCTGGTTGGCCAATTTTTGAGTCCTTGATTCCGTCAATGCCCAGTTCCTGCATCACTTCCATCACACGAAACTTCTTTGCTGCTGTGCTCATCGAGCGAGGTAATCGTAGGAGAGCAGAATAGAGGATTGTTTCGTACACAGTTAACGTGGGAATCATGACATCTTCCTGATCCACATAGCCTATCAGTTTTTTATACTGCTCTGGTGCAACGTTCTGTCCATTAAGGTAAATTGAGCCAGTGGCCGTGCCCGATTTGAGACGTTTGGCTAGAATATCCAAGAGGGTTGTCTTGCCAGCACCTGACGCACCCATGATTGCCATGACCTGACCAGGCTGTACAATACCAGAGACATTATCTAATACCTTTCTATTGTTGACAGTATAGGAGACCTCACTGAAAATTAAGCTAGTAGGTGTATGTTCTGCCATCAACTTTCCAGCTTCGTCATCACTAATCTGAATAATACCACTTCCGTTGGGCTTCCTTGCGTAGTAAGTGACAACACTGCCGATGATCATCAAAAAAAGACCCACACCTGACAATCCAATGATGACCATAGTCCAGTTTGTTTGTCTCTCTGGTCTATTGAAGCCAGGAACCATTGTATAGTGTAAACATTCTCCTGAATTACAATTTAAAAAGATAGATTCATCACCAAATACCATGAGAATCAGATCGTCCATAGCAGGTTCAGAAAAGGCGCATGATGGACCATTGCAGGTAAAGGAAGCAGGACCCTTAATTTCTTCCTTCAACATATCTGTAAGGTCAATAGAACCATCTTTTCCACATAAAAATTCATCTTTTATGCACTTGCAGTTGATATTTTTACAAGCATATTTCGTAGTATTCTTTCCATAGTCATAGCTCTGGTCAAACTCACATGTATCAAGATGGCAATAGAAGGATTCAATCTCATCCACCCAAACTAGTAAATATCGTAAATAATGCAATTAAACAAAAGGGTTGATTTCTACTTACATTGAAAATCGCAAGTTTCCTTATGTTTGTTGCATGAAAAAGTAACCTGAGGTATTTGACCATTTAGCTGCTTTAGAATATTTCGATCTATGAATAACAATAAGCATGATGATATGCCCAGATTTCAAAGAAAACTAACTTGTCACATTGCACATTTGATAGTTTTCGAATACAGTAAGTCCACCTCTGTAACAAGTACCGTTTTGGCCAGTGGGGACTAAAGGGTCACATACTGAATCGGTCTTGCAAACTAATAACTGATACATAAGTATAAGGGATTCGTCTGTTTATTTTATCTTACCATTGCAGTTGATGCCTTCCCAGCCTTCGGGACAATCACAATGGTTGTTTTGTCTAGGAAGTCTTGAATTTCCATCCGATAGAGCACCACACACTATATTGAGTATTAATATACTTATCAATATTTATGCGACTCTTTTATTTACATGGCTGTCTACAGTCGTCACCACCAAAGCCAGGAGGACAGCTACATTTTCCGTCATACTGTGAACAGTTTGCAAAGTGAAGGCATTCAAAACCAGGCAACATACAATTAAAGCATGGTGGACATTCGTCATTGCGTTTATCGCCAAATATTTGCAAAGTTGACTTCATAGCAGGTGACAAGGATAGGTCATAGTCTTCGCTGTACTGTTGTAAAGTAGGCTTGACTATGTAAACTAGTATGAATAAGAATATCCATTGTTTAAACATCTTTTCTTTGTTTAAAACAATAATAATAATAAAAAAAAAAAAGAAAAAAGAAACACACATACACACGCAAATCCTCAGACAAAATTCGTCCAAATCGACGTAACACAGAAATTCAAAAGGAGAAATAAAAAATCCTTACACTCTGTAGTGTTTTCGTGTCGTAAGAAGCTATTGGGGCTGCCTTTATCACGTATGATCATATAAAAGTTGTATAGGGGAATCTCAAGTTCAAACTTTCTACACATAGTTTATACTAAATATCTTCAACAATGAAGCTTTGTCAAAGAAGTGAATGATAAATCCTGTGTGTTCTGGAAATAATGATTTTCTTGACCGCTAGAACTATGCTTTTTCTTGTTTTCCCAGGAAAAAACAGTACGTCCGTTGGTATTGAACTCATCAAAGAGTGTATAAACAGAACTGTGAGGGTTACTACATCATTCCATAACTTTTGGCATGGCTGCAATCACTTTTTAAAGCAAAGCGAGCCTGCTGATCTACTAAAGCCAGAAAATCACTCTCCTAAAAAGTTTCAGGATGATGTATTTCTTGTAGGTTAAAGGAATCATGACTGCTGAGCTCTTTGAGGAAATGTATTTCAGGAACGCGGTGTGATACTATCATTTTACTGGACACGGGCTCCTTTAAAAAAGTTGAGTTCTGTTTTCGAACTGGTGCCGAACAGTTAACGAGTCAATGACTATAGCCTTTAGCCCTTGGTCAGCTACAGAGAGGTCGAGGCATTTTTTGTTTGTCCTGTGATGGAGTAAGGATAAAGGGTAGAGCTCATTGGGTTCTTGTAATATATTCATCGTCTTTAGATGTCTCGGAGATTTCTCCTTTCTCGATCATGTTTTATATATTTTCATTATAGTAAAATGAAGAAGGAGCGAGGGACCGGAAGACAGAAAGAAAAAGAGAGAGAACAACAGTATATCATTATTTAATTGTGCTTTAATCGAATGCAATTATATGTTACCTTTGAGATCAGTTTAATAAAGTAAATCCAAGAATAAATACAATGTTGTATATACTATAGCAACTAGAATAGATTGAACACACAGCCCTTTGACAATGATCCAGAATATAAACATTCTCGTATTCATTTAATAAGCTGTAGCCAGAATATTCTGAATTCGAATTCTGATTGGTCAAGAAAAAAAATATTCCAAATCGTCTAAACTCATCCGAAAATACTACATGTTCATCACTGCGAATTTCCCTTTTTCTTTTTCTTCCCTCTTTTACTGTTCTTTAATAAAAAAGAAAAATTGTATTTTATTAAAGAAGAGCATAAATTAGCGAGTAATAAATATAAAAGGAAGGAATGGTAAAAAATCCAATGAATTGATAAAGTAAATAAGCCCATTGAGAAATGACTTCATATTATAGTCTTTAACACCACCTCAAAATCCTTCCTTAAGGTCCTCTCGTTCTGCAGACACTCGTTACCTATCCGCATCCCCTCCTTATTGTAGCGATGGAAACCTATCGACTTCTTCCTCCACAGGTTCACTGAAAAGACGACGTTCGGACAAAAACAATAAGAAGGAATTATTTATTGATACAAAGGAGCCTTCGGAAGAGATTGGAATTGATCTTACTCAAAAAAAGCTAAAAGGACTTCATCTACAACAAAGTAAAATAAACTTAATAAATTCCATCTTGTTTTCTCCTTTCTTAATTCATTATACATTAGACAATCAATATCGGAGCCTATCATACCAAGTAGGTGATCAAGTAGAAGCAATAAAGTGGACAAACGATGTAAAAGAATGGTACTGTGCCAGAGTAGTAGAAATATTATACGATACAACTACTGCAGCTGGAGATGCTCTGATCTTTGTACACTATGAAGGATGGTCTCCAGATGAAGCGGATTGGATCAGTCCTACTCTCATACGACTTCATAATCCACGCACATCTCTTCAATATGGTCCAAAGGGACCCGAAAGTGACAGATCATGGAAAGATTATGCTGAATTCTATAAATCAAAAGCTGGCGAACAAACAAGGCACCATACAGGTCTTGTGCAAGACAGACGAATGTCCCTTCACTGCTGCCCTTGTCATTCTCGAGAGACGATCCATCCAGAAAGGCCAGATAGAATTAGTTCGATCCTTCAAGCACTCCATGCCAATCGGTAAAAGAAAGACTTTTTTTTATTATAGCGCTAGAATGAATCGTTTGTGTATAGCTTATTAAGGTATTTTGGACGAGTTCATGCCCGAGAAGCCACCGTACAAGAGTTACTGAGGGTGCATACGTATGGTCATGTTAGAAATTATTACCCAATAGACGAAGAGAGAGAATCTGTTGTTAAAAAGAGACCCTTGAAAATAACGTCCATTGCCGCTCTGTTAAATCCCGAGCCTTCAGCACACAAGCCAAATGTGATGAGAGGTGTGGGCGGTGGAACAGTAAAGCAGGCAGACCAAGATCACATCAAGAGACAACACACAAGGTTTTCTTCTGCCGCGGCTGCAGCAGATGCAACCCAAACGGACCCAAAGCCGGTCGCACCTCCCGGCTTGATATGTGAAATGACATGTGGTGAACTGGGCATAGCTGTGGATACGACTTTTCATCCACTTTATACGAGCCTCTCTGCTCGAATAGCAGCTGGTTCTTTATTATCCCTTGTTGAATCTATTGTCAATGGTCGTCTAAGAAATGGATTTGCTTTAATTCGACCACCAGGTAACAAAAAGTCAACATATGTATAGCAGATATTGACTATAGAAAAAGGTCATCATGCTGAAGACGATACAGCTATGGGATTTTGCTTTTATAATAATGTGGCTGTAGCAGTGGCTGATACTCTGGAGAAATACCCGTCAAAGATCAAAAAGATCCTCATCATTGACTGGTAACTTTTTTTTTTATAAAGTGGGAAACTAAGGAGCTGATATAATGAAATAGGGACATACAGTAATTAACAAACTTTAACTACAATGTTATGCTTGATTAACCCCTCCCCTTATTTATAGTCATGGAAACGGCACTCAAAAGATGTTTTATGATAATCCGAATGTTCTCTATATCTCGCTACACAGATGGGATAAGGGTAAGTTCTATCCTTTCACTGGCGCACCTGATGAATGCGGTGAAGGCCCTGGCCTAGGTAACAATGTAAATATTGCATTTAGCTCTTCAGAAGATAAACCAAGTAAGTGAACTTTTTCATAAAAGTCTCCAATCTAAAGGAACAATTTAAAAAGGACCAATGGGTGATACAGAGTTTGTTGCAGCCTTTTATTATTTCGTCATACCAATTGCAAGGCAATTCCATCCTGATATGGTAAAGCATAGCCCACCAGTTTATTTGTAGAACAAGAAAAGATAACTTTAAAATAGATTTTTGTTTCCGCAGGGTTTGATGCGGCTGAAGGGCATCCAGAAAATGTAAGTCAATGTGGGGGGGGGGGAGAGATAGATGATGTGTGATTATTCATATGCTCTATAATAGCTTGGTGGATATAATATGACCCCTCGTGGGTATGCATTACTCACAAAGATGGTAAAGGACCTGGCCAATGAGTTATGTGATGGTAGACTAGCCCTCACGCTCGAAGGTAAACAAAGTAATATAAAAAAGTCACATTACTCATATAATCATAGGTGGATACGAGCTTCAACCTTTAGCATCTTCCTGTGCTGCAAGTGTTGCTCAGCTATTACCTTTAAACACATTACCTGATCAACAAATTACAACTTTCAAGCGAACTCTGAATGCTGTTAAACCGAATATGGGAGCAGTGGAAAGTTTTGCTCAGGTGGCATTTATACAAAAGAGATACTGGAATCTGTCAGACGCGATATGCTCACCTAGTTTCAAGTTTAATCTTCCCTCTGACTGGAGAGCAACTGATAGTATTTCAACTAGACCTAAAAGAGACAAAAAACCAATTAAAGTCCCAGTGGTTGAAGGCTATTGATAACTGTAAAATAAGAGCATCATAGACAAAATATACAGGCGTTTGAATCTTTACATGCTTTGCACATAACTATAATCTTACAAAGATAATACTTAATAAACTCACTACATTAGTAATCAACATTCATCTACCTCTCTATTTTGGGCTTCTTTTGCAATAAAAATCAATTGTCTTTATTTGCTCTTGGGTTTCATTCTATCTACAATTCTTTTCAGTTTGGGTAAAGCAAGATGACCAACCAAGGTTCTAGACAACAAGAAAAGGATGATAGTAAAGATGATAAAGAGTTCAGATATACAGAAATGGCTGATGGATGTGCCAATTTCTAACCAACTTCCATAATCTGTGACAAAGTAGAAGAAATTGATGGTCTGTATATCTGTTATACTCATGACGATCAAGAATAAGGTAAAAGGTTGAAGATCGAGACTTGAACTGATGATCCCAAGGACAGAAGAGATGACAAAGAATGGGATGAGTATTTTAAGGATAAGCAAGGCACCCATAAGGAAAGGGTTGAAGACAGTTGTAAATCGATATACGCTTTCCAAAGAGAAGCTACTCAGAGATGCAACATTGCCTGTGCCAAAGAATGCGACGTTCACAAAGAACAAAAACAAGACAGCGGCTCTTCCATCACTTGGCTTAAGCGCACGAACAACTGAGTATCGACTGTGCTTGTAAAGACTCCTTTCGATTTCCATCCAAAGCAGAACAGTAGAACAGAAGAAGACGTAAAATAGGAGTTCATACGAAATACTGAGAAGTGTCATCAAGGGTGTAAAGGCTAAACAGATGACAAGTAGTCTTGCCAAATAGTCATCATGGGAACTTCCTCTATACACAAACGGGAATACACTTGAGATCGCTAAAGAATAAAAACAGGTTAAAAGGGCAGTCAGTTGCCTTCATGACTTACCAATGATAAACCAGCTTGCTATCTGGTTTAATTCCGGAAGACCCTCACGATTCTTCAGACTGATTGATGTAGAGTACACTATAACCATGCTCCCAGCGATCATACACAGTTGAATATAAATAATGATCTTCTGTTTCTTAGTAATTCTATTCAACTTGTTGAGTTTCCATAGCAGCCAAGTGCCCGTTATAATGGCAACAGCACCCCCAGCAATGCTAAGCAACAATAGAATATTAAACATTGCAATTGAATCCTTTATAAACCTTACACTTGTTCGATGTTTTCTCCTTTTTCAACAGGAAGTAAAGTAAAAACACTGGTAAGGATACAGAATAAGGACCAAGCAGTTGTCAATTTCCCTTTTTCTTGACGCACATAAGAAGGCATTACACATGGCCAAGCAGAAAGACCGATAAAGATAGCCGAGAGTACTTCTCGATGAAAATAGCTTCCAACCTAAAGTAGTGTAAGCGATATATCCATGGCAGACAACTGTAACTTACGAGTGCTTCCAAGAACAATAAGGATCCAATAACCATCATCAATGACTTTGTAACTCCAGAGCGTAAACAAAGACGTAATGCCCCAATAAGCGAGCGATAGTTTCTTAGGATTTGGTTCCAAAAGAAAATAGGAAAGAGTACATATAGATAATACATTTTTGGCATCTTTTGTAGGTAAATCATAGCGAATACAGCAGCCATCGTAATGATAGACATAAAATCGATCTATAGACATGTTGGTAACATCCTTTTGAATAACAGTTGATACTTACAAGAATACGGTATTTTAAATGGCTTGACATTTCTTCATTAGAAAACAGAACAAAGTGTCTAATTACAAACTCTAGACAAAAGATACACCAACCAACATATCCGATTGTGATAATGGTTCTAAGGAAGAGCCAGTCATACGTTTGATAGTACCGAAGGCCACGAAGACTGAGCTCAATCAGCTCTTTTGATTTCTTTTCAGCAAGTTCATAATCTTTATCAGCTATCAGCATTTTGATTTCTGATGTTAATAATGTAGGATCATGCTGTCCGACCAAGCCAGGATAAGGCCTAAAAAAAAGTTCATGTTGTTCCTTTTCGCCTGAAAACATGTAAATTAGATCAATAAAACAATGGATATGAAAGCAACCTTACTGTGCTTAACTCGGAGTTGTTCTAATATTTGACGCGCGTTGGTGAATGCAGCCTCTGCCTTTGTCGAACCATTTGCATTCAAATAACTCAATGGTAATTCACCTACAGAATTCACTGGGATATCGATGCCAATGAGATGAGCCATTAAAGGTGCAATATCCGCTTGCAGTATATCATCGCGTTGTAAGGTTGACAGTCCCCAATTGGACGAATACTCATCATGACCCAAGCCAGAATGAATCGGTTGACGAATACCAGCTCCCCAAGCTACAATGGGAGTGCGTGTATTATCCGGATGTCCATCACCGTGAGCACCTGAGCTATAAAATAAACACTAATGTTTTTGATCAAGCTGTACTGCGTTTACCTCTGTTGTTCATTCCGTGATCCGCAGTAAAGATATAACTAGTTTTTCCATCATGATAAAAGTCTTCAATCAGGTTGACCATCTCTTTTATGCCGTTATCCACAAGCTTTATATTTTCCAAATATTCTTTTGACGAAGGCCTAAATCCATGTCCATTGGTATCCAATCCAAGAAGGTGAAGGAAAAATACAACCTTTTTTTGTCGTAGCATGTTATCGAGTTCAGGATTTGTTGACGCGTTCTTAAATAGTTCTTTTACATGATCAAATACCCAAATGTCTAATCGTGAGGCCTCTATAATAGAGTGTCAATGGCTGCCCTGATGCCCTCCTATTTTCTTACCTCCTGCAAAATCCTCATATTCTGGTGGGTACATGTAGGTTTCTATCTTTTCTTTATCACTTGCTCCATGTTGAAACATGGGCAAGATGTCTGGAGATCCAAATGACCAAGTATGTTGAGACTGGTTAAAAACAGAATCAAAGTTGACAGGATTCAATGTCCAACCTTGAGTTGAACGTTAGCAACACAAATTAAATAGCAAACAACTTTTCTCTCTCTCTCTCTTTTTTTTTTTTACCAGTAGTGACAGCACTAACATCCTCATAAAAGCCAGCAATAATAGCGACATGACCAGGTCTTGATTCAGTTGGCACACGAGTATGAGAGATACCCCAAGTACCGTTATTCTGTAGAATGTCTCTCAAGAAAGGTGCTCTCGTTTGTCCTTGTTCGTCTAGTTCAAATAACTTATCTGCACGTAATCCATCCCCTAATAATCTGGATAGTAACAAACTTTAAAATATAATTCAGGACGACATTACCTACAATAAGTACCAGTCTGTCAGCTGGAGGATGAATGGGACTTTTATGTGGTGTCATGCCATGGACAAGTGGAGAAGTAAAGTATATGTCAAATATACTAAACAAGTAAATGACGTGAAATATAACGCCAATTATCAATAATGTCTCACGGGATAACATTATTGTTGAAAAAGGTGGAAGAGACAATAGAAGAGTTTTGTTTTCCTAAAATAGTCTTTATGCTCCGATAAGACAGTCATGGCTCTTTCTTTGATCTATATGAGCCTGAGTCAAAGGGATATGTTTAAAAAAGTCTGTTTCTTTAAATGAGAAAGGGCCGAGCTGTGTATATATTTGATGTAAAACTAGACTTCTTGTCATATAATTCCCTTCAAGGCACTCTCTCTATCACGTTATTCATGCATTTTCACGAGTAATTCACTAGGTCACGCTGATCGATTGAACTATGGTTGGGTATAAAACTATAAATGGCAAAAATTACAGACATAAATTTGGTGCCTTGTTATTTCTTCTTCTTTCTTGTAAAAGAAAGCAAATGACAACAGATGAGACAGTTTATGGCGTACAATCTTGGAAGTACTTTTGGTTATTTGTCGCTTATTGCATTGTTGTCTTGATCGTAGCTGTCTTCTTTTTATTCTACTCTAATCGCATACTTGCTCGAATATTAACTTTTATAATCAATCAATACACATGGAGACAATATAATGCATACATTCAAATTGGTAATACATCTCTTGCTTTCTTTGTGTTCCTTTTTACTCACTCGTTCCTATAGATTCAATACGTGTTACTTTATTGGGTGGTCGAATATTATTTAAGAATCTAAGATATACATCAAATAATGCATCTATTTCAATTGTCAAAGGCCACATTGCTATAAAATATTGGTTATTTAATGTTCGTGATAATAATAATGATGAAGAGGATAAAACAGGTACCGAGATATTAAGTGAGATGTGTAAGCGTGCCCTTAATCATTCTATAAGGAAAAGATTTACCATGCAGAATTGTTTGTAATTTTGAGGGATTGGAGTACTTTATCTATAATAACATACCAGCTTATGATAAATTAAAGGACATCCTTGGTTTATCAACTACAACAACTGCCACTAGAAACAGTTCAGGAACAAGTTTTGAACAGCTCAATTATGATCAAACATTCAGTACTGATCTGTCCAGTTCACATACTTCATTATTTGAAAGGCTATTGCCTATTCAATTTGAATGCACAAAAGGCGCAGCATTGATTGGCAATATGGAATTGAAGACGATACTAGTATTTCAGATGGTGCAAGCCAATGGGATATATAGTATAGCCAAATCTCGCTCATCAATGGATTGCTACAAGACTACTATAGATTTTGCAGTAAGAAAACCACAGATCAGTTTAAAGGACAATGTAGATTTTAGTCAAGCCCATAATATGGAAGACGAGATGAAGGACAAGGATCAGTCGAGGTACATCAACCTTATAGTTATGATACATTAACTGAACCCAAATCGGCAGCTTCTTCCGTAGGCTGTTAAAACCAATCCAGCAATTGTTTATAGGTCATACTTCTCAATTTTCAGAAATACGACATATGAAAAATATGATGAGTCATGTAGCACACAATGACGAAAGTGATAGTGTAGATTGTGAATATGCTAGAGTCAGTAATGTGTTTGAATGTAACGATATGGTACTCACTTATTATATGGACTATGCTGGTAAGATATATACTCTTCCCCAACAAAGTATCATATGATTGATCAAAAGATCAAACACAATAGGACCTGTACCATCCACATCATCTGATTCTGATATGATCGGAAACGGAGGTTTACCTCCAGAATGGGGTATACGCATCTCGCTGTGGGACGCAACCATTCATTATGGCCCTTGGGCAGATAGACAAAGAATCGTCATGCAAAATTATTTCTTCCCTAATGCTCACCGCAACAGTACGCCTACACCTAAATTAGTACCAGGTCAGCAAAGGATACCCATATGCTTCGAGACGTATATTGAATTTATGAATGATGGTAAATTAAAGGTACCAACACGTGAAAAGACAAAGGTAACGTGAAAAAAAAGGCGTCTATCAAAGACAATAGCTTATTTTGATTCATCATCAGGACTGGAGGTACACCTCGGGACAGCCAGACCTCGACATTAGTTCCGATGGAAACTACACTAGACCATATGGCTGGTTTAACATTAAGGCCGGGGAAGGATCATTCGTGAGATTGATTACTCCAATGGTGATCGGACCAGAAGGAACCATGAATACGGTAGATGTTGTTTTGAGGGAGACTGATATTACGACCAGTGTCAACTATGCTTCGTTTATCCTATCACCAAAAATTGAAATTCAGTGCAGAATGCCTGTACCATTACAGTGGAATGGTTATAGACGATGGGACTTTAAGATTTTACCCAAACGTGCTACTATATTTTTATTAAGAGATCATATCTACTTGTTACAAGATACAGTCAGAGATTGGGGATCAACGCCACCACCGGACCTGTTGCATTTCACGCCTACCGAATACACTTTACATTTCAATCTGGAACATCCCAGTATATACCTCTGCGTAAACGAACATAATGTGATCAATAACCCCAACTCGATAGAAGATAATGGTAAGAAACAAGAGAATGTATCTCTTGATGATTCACTTATTCTTTTTTTTTTTAAAAAAAAAATAGCATTCTTGAAGTTACAAGCTTACAAGTTAAAAGTGGATGCTGTACTGCCGTTCACTGACTTCCAGCCGGAGATCAATACGATCAAATTTAATGTCGCTATTGACCACGGAAGCGCTGGATTATCCCTTCAATCATCACACACACTCAATGCTTTTCTGAACGAAGCAGACGCACAGACAGCCGCTGTTGTCCAGTTGAATATCGATGGTTCCTATGAAGCTTATAGTACTGTCGACGTTGCTCGTCATATTGAGTCATGCAACCTTCATATAAAGATGAATAGTGCCAAGGTCAAGTTATTTGGTACATTAATTCGATATCTTTTGTTGCTCAAGGACAATTACTTTGGTGCTTGGGATCATTTCTCTACCATTGATGAGTATAGGAAACAAAGAAAAAACCATCAGGAATGGTTGGCACAGAAAAAGAAACAGGCAGATGCAAAGGTAAAACAGTGTCATTATTCTTCATATGCTTATTCAGATAATACAATAGCCTACTTCAGATCCATTCGAAGTATATATGCTGCTGGAGCTAGAGGATGGTGTATTATTACTTCCTGAAAACCTATATGAATGCTCTCGTTACTCACAGGTGGAGTTTCAAGAGTTACAGGTTGAGTTAAGGAATCTGGATGTCTATATGGATTTTTATGTCAACATCAGCCCTATTACACTAAGTCGAAACATTAATCCTTATGCTCAACAAGGCGAAGAGCATTTTAGAATTAAGCATGCCCGTGTTCCGAAGAATAGTATATTCATTGATGGTAAGCAAGAACAGGATTTCTTTATTAGTACTCAACAAACTTGTTAGGCCTAAGTATTTACTCTCATCGTCTGTTTGGTCCTCTACCATTGTCCTCAACCTACCTATGTCATTATGAACTAGATATAGGACGAATTACTGGCGAGATCAAGCCATCCTTCTTACTCGGCCTTGCATGTTTTGGGCAGTCGTTTGCCTATAACCTAATTGACGAAGATAATGCAGTCCCTCCTGAATTACGATCGGCATCACTCCCTGACGTGACATTCCTAAAAGTTTATGTTCAAGAAATAGACGTTTGTTTGATGAGCTTAAATAGTGCTACAAATATTCATCTAAGTGATGGAATCTTGCTAGAGTTTGATAATCTGATCAACCATAAATACAGCGAAAGGATCACACTTAAAATACCTTTTATTGTAACTCGATGTCTTGCCAATGCAGAGCAAACACGAGGTGATGGTATCGAAAATGATTACCCCTGGGCAGAGGTTGCGAAGGCTGACATGAGTCTTAACATAACAGTCTTGAGGCATACTGCAGAATGGAAGAGAAAACGTGCTGAGCAACAAAAATATGTTCGTTCGCAAGATTATCTGACGCGTCGTTGCGTTCGATTATATGAAGAGGAAGAAGACGACTATAAGTCCCAATGTAGGTAACCCCCTTGCAAGTTTTAAATGGTCTCACTCATACTTTCAACTAGATTCTAAATCATCTATGCCGTCCACTACTGATCATCATGTTGGTGTACTATATGCACCGTCATATAGACCATTTGTATCTGGTAGACACTAAATTAAAAATATAAAAACATCAACTTACTCTTTTTTTTTAATATTATAGGGCGAGCGGATGATAAGTCTGCACCTATCGATATGACTGCTAGCTCAACTAACCTTTCTACAGAAACGGTTAAAACCCATCAAGGAAGATATAGAGGATATAGCAACTCAAGTAGCATGTCCCAGAGATCTCTTGTGTTGCTGAAATCAGATCACATGGACGATGTATCAGAATTGGAATATGATAGTGATATCGAATATGCCCAGAGCGCTCTTTCTCGAGACAATGAATCGTTCCATACCGCAAAGGACTCTGATGACGAGTATGGCTTTGGTCAATCTGAAGTAACAGATGATGGCTATTCTGTGCAATCAGATACTACAAGCATGCTTTCGACAGAAGGTAAATACATTTCATAAACCAAAGTTGTATTAAACTAACAACACTATTTTTTTTTTTTTTTTTTTTTTTTACAAGATGAGCGTCATGCTCAAGCCAGCGACGACCCGCATATATCATATGCGAATGAAGGGAAAGCGCCTTCAGTAGTCCCACCTTCGATTCCTTATAGTGATTACCTCAGACGATACAAAATTGTCCATTCTGAGGATCATTTTTTACATCCATTCATTTCTCCTCCTAAAGCCCGCTTTGTTGCTCAAAAGGTAAAGCACACAAAGGCACTATGTTACTATCACATACTAACTGACATGCTGCATCATTCAGGAACAAGAGCAAAGGAGGTGTTTTAGCCATGAAAGCGCAACCAGAAATATGGACGACTATTTTTCACAGAAATTTGGTGATGGTGATGAAGATGAGGCAGCGCATAGTAAAATATCCAATGATGAGAGAAACGAAGTGATAGCAACGACAATTATTGAAGCCACACGTCCTGTTACTGTACTGGTAACACCTATACTTGTGAAGATTGTTCAAGAGCTAGCGGAAGAAATTATCAAAGATGACTGGGATCTAGAAACGATGCTTGATGCTCTTCAAATGGAGTACGTAGAGCAATTAACGCGTTACTTGACAAACCAATACCTTTGTACAAGGTTCGCTGTTGTCCTTCCAGAGACCTACCTGCACTTTATCCAAAATGTGACCATGCCCGACGACTTGCCTTCTTACAAGCATGGAGGATCTGTGATGAAGACGCAATACAATTCCAAGGATACGATCCTCTGCTCTGCTGATATATTTTTAAATAGCTTCCACATGATTGGGAGTGTAAAGTTTGAAGACTATGCTTTTGATGAAAAGAAAAAAAAGATGGCAGAATCTAATATTGTACTCCAAGAGTCTCGAATACATATCAATGCAGATGAAATGGGAGCCACTGTCCAGTACATATCTAAGCAGCGTGAACAGCAAACGATAGCATTTGGCATACCGTATCAACACTTGCGTAACAAGAGTCTATATGACAGGCATGATGATCATACATTAGCCAACGAAATTGTTATGCTGGATCTTGTATTAAAAGGGTTCGATTTTAAGTGGTTAGGCGCAAGAAATCCAAACTATGCAGATGTAAAGATAATCGATATTGACACTGTCATTATTACCGAATCGGTAGAGATACTTGTGGGTGCAGTCTACTCATGGCTGATGTTTGTGGATGACCTCAAGGGAATTCTCCAAATGTTCCAAGAACAACGTTCGAGACAAGTACAAGTGTTCATTAATGAGCTTGCAGACTTTTCCATTAGTCCTACTGTATCTGGTGATCCGCTCTTTCTGACAACGCCTACAACCATGTTACGGTTGGGATCACGTAATTTTAGAACGGATGTAGGATGGAAACTACTCGCTCGCATGCGGCACTGCCTTCGTTCGATGCCAGCCATGACCCGTGAAAAATTACAGCATAGACTCACAGCCGGCAATGATATACGTTTAGACTCAGACGCCATGTTTAACGATGTTGTGCGCTGTCTATCTATCTGGCGTGGTTGGGAGATTAGCGCAGACGATATTAGACAATGTCGACTCTTTACGCAACCTTTCGAGCAAAAGATGAAAGTAGTAAACAGTATAGCAAAGAAAGACATGACAAATGAAGCAGTCCAGTTTTTGGTGTCATCTTCTAATTTTGCAAACTTTCGGCTTGGAAAGTTTAACTTTGTCATCTATGAAGAAGAACTTGAAGAAAATGGGCAAGATGACAACAGCTTTTGTGTACAACCTGTTGAATTTGCACTGGAATGTCTATACAAGTCATCTCCTATATCCAGTCTGCCCGAAATCAATGATGGCCACAGTAAATTGTCTGCAGTATTGGAAGGCTATTTGGACATTGTGGCCAAACTAGAGATGGGCAAGATGCAGATATCTATAAATCCGATTATTTTAGCATTTGCGCGTCATATGCTCATGGTACAGCGTGTCTTTAAGGCAAAGCTACGTAACCTGTCATCAAAGAACATGACTGAAGGGAGTCAGAAATTTTCTTCTGAAACTGCTGGATCTATTGACGAGTTTAACTTTGGTTCCCTTTTAAGCAAAGTGGATATCGTTGCGCAAACTCTCTGTAGCTTAGAGAGTATCGAGATAACAGCACACACGCAAGAACTTAAGATGGACACCATCGTGTCCGGCATTCAAGGTTCCATATTGTTTTCCAATCCCAAGTTAGCGCCTTTGCAATTAGTGGCACACCTCGATAAAGACTCGGATACTGGCTCTGGCAAACGTAGCTCCAATCGTGCCTCTCGTAGAACAGCAACAGCAGGACCGCGTTTAGTTCTTGAAGCAGCTGGTGGTATTGATTCTATTGGTATAAAGTTCAAGGAAGAGCAAAAGCGAAGCAGTTTAGATCCAAGCTACAACACTTTGCTTGATATTCACCTGTCAAAGGCTAATGTCAACGCGAACATTTCTCAGACGACTAAATCATCCAAGAAACAACAGGGAAAATCAGAAAACGCAAAGGATGTTCTTAATGTTTTTTCAAATATTCACAAGTTTGACATCAAGATTCCTCAAAGCTTATTACGGCTTTATGGATTTTTTGAATCATGGCAAACGGAACAAGGTAGACGCTATCACTTTATGCTCCAGAACTTGTTGAAAGAGTGGGAAGAACAAAGAAGAGATATCCTTGACTATTCACCTTTGACAAAGAAAGAGCAACCAACTCTTACATCGCTAAAGAGGCCTGATATCAAGCTGCAGTTTTTGTTGAACGAATTTGTTGTACAGGCTGACCTCTTGCCCTCATTAAGTATCGACTATAACATTTTGGATTTCTTCATCATGGTGAACGAGACTCAGCAAAAAACCGCACCTGTCCACATGTACGCCTTCCAGCTGTCAAAACAAGTGATTCATTTGATCACAAAAAATGCAAAACAGATACGCCATGGCAAGCCAGAGATTATCAATGTGAGCACATTCAGTATTCCTGGTATCCGTAGCACAGGCTCTTTGCGTAATGAAGTATCCAATGAAATAAGCCATCTCAGACTTAGGTCTATGATATCTGTGGATTTGATCTCTATGACACTTGATGCAAGCCTCATTGACTCTTTGCTGACTGCTCAATCTCTAGTTGGCAATGAAGTCAGTGAACTTATCGAAGTTATCTCTTATTCAAGCAACAAAAAAGGCGAAGAAACGCCTGTTACTGCAGTCCTGGAAGCATCCCAGCTGAGCAAGCCTGTAGACCGTGTCTTTAGATATACCATAGACATTAACCTGGATGGCTTACGCATATCAGCTAGCAGTCCTTCTGCTATTGGCATGTTCCACTCAAATCTTTTAGAAGCAACCATTTCCAATGACTGCTTTGAAAACAGCAATCAGTTAGCTTGGAAGGTTAAAGCAGGTGACTTTTCTTTGTCTGTTGATCACAATATGCATGATATGCCCAAAGATTCTGAAGATTGTGATGTTCATCGACGTAATTGCTTGGCCTATATCTTGGCTGACTTTAGTGTTCAAAACTCCTTACCGCAATGCGCTGATGAGAACTGTGAAAATAGCATTCACTACCATAGTAATGACAGAGAACTCGATGCTCTTTTTATAGAGTTTATCAAGATACAAACAGTCATGCAGCCGATTGCTTTAGGAAAGCTTGCAGAGATGTACATCTATTACGACTCAGAGCTTAGCAAGAAGAAGATGATGAAGAAGGCTGAAATCGATCAACTATCAGTTAACACAAAGCGTATTGTTCAGACAATCTCTACCAAAAATGACTGGTCAAAGACTTTTCCAGAGGAGCCTCATTCGCTTTTGGAAGGCAGAATCATTGGACTTCAAGTGCGCCGTTTGGGTGTTGCTATTCCTCTTGATGAGCAGTCAGACCTGCCTTTACCGAATGTATCTAAAGATGTCAGTGCTTTACTGTTCTCTGCAGGGTTTATAGAATTCTGTACAAAGAATATCGAAAGGAGTACCCTGCAACTGGAAAATCTGGCGTTGCAGTTTGTCAAGCAATTTGATCAGAGCAACCAAGACCACTTCCTTGCAGAAAATCACGCACGTATGAATCAGATTAGTCTTCCTCGTATCTCTTGCCACGTGTCCGCTTCAAATGCAAAGCCTGTACAAGCAATTTCAGTAAATGCTCAAATGGGTGGTTTTGAGATAGACATTGATGGGACCATAGCAGAGTATATCAACACACTGAGCGTTATCTATATGAAAAGCATGGACCGTGTGGACGTATTCACTGCAAAGACAAGTCTCAAGTCCAAACCATCTTCATTGTCGACTCCTACTGTGGATACCTCTGGACAGCCGCATAGCATTGTTCATCTGGATATCGAATGTAAGCTTGAATGTCAGACGGGTACTGTTCGTATGCATCCCAAACGCTATTCTTGGGATACACAATTAAACAGTAAACGAAACAAGGGTCTTCGTATACGTACAGGATTCGATGCAAAAACAGGTGAAGGCAATATTGTCACGCTCTATATCCCAGGGCTCCTTGCGCGCATTACTTGCCTTACCCCAATAGGAGCAAGCAATTTTGCTACTACAATGCCAAAACGTTTCCATGCAGATATTCTGATTCGTGAAAGTGTTAACGTACTTCATCCAGCTCTAGTCCTGTTCCTCTCCGAGGTCTCCACTGGTTTAAAGATCGGCATTCAACAATCGAGCAAGCGCAAGGCAGACAAGAGTGTTCAGGCTGGAATCGATACTACCCTCAACGCCTCCATCTTGATTCGACTTTCAAAGACTCAACTAGACTTGAGCTGCCAACCAAACTCCAAAGTGGTTTGCTCATTAGGATGGCGAGAGAGCGAATTTTTGATTAACACATTCTCAAAAGACGCCACTTCTCAAACCATGAGCTGCACTGGTTCCCTTAAGGAAATCACAGCCACCATAAAACATCATTTCTCCCCTGAAGCTTGCTTTCATTCGAAAATTGATCGTATTATGCTTAATGCCGTGCTAACCTCGCAAAGAAAGGATGGTGATACAAGCGATGATATATCAATTTCAGTTGAACTGCCGAATATACTCGGAGATCTCAATATGCGGCACCTTCAAGATTTGCTAGTATTATACAACTGCTGGATGGTTCAGCCGCTCTTACAAGAAGAGTACGCGGAAGTAGCCAAGGAAGCAACAAACTCGCCTTTATTGACTTCACCATTAGACTCCTCTCCATCGCCAAACGATAGACGATCTCCCAACAGTCATTCCAGCCAAGGAGACGCAGATGAGCGATCGTTTGTGCCTTTCTCAAAGCATATTGCGATTTACTTTGACAGGATGGTGTTGGGCGTAGACCTTGGTCAAGCCATCGGAAAGATTACTATTTGCCCTCAGAACCTGTCTTTCCAGGGACACCATACACCATGTGAATCGAAGGGTGTCAGTTTTACGCTGGATAGCGTTGACATTACGGCTGAAGGACGCCTAACGGGGTCTGGATATGTCAAACCCATTACGATCAAAGGTAGAGTAGATCAGTCCAAAGATCAAGATGATGTGAATTCGAAATCAGTAGCCTATGTACGGTCTGAAGGACTACAAGCAACATTTGAGTATGAATACCAAAACATTTTGGAATGCGTGCAGCAATCCATGGAGTTTACAGCAGAGCTTGCGCATGTAAATAGTAGGCACGAGCTGCAGGTGGCAATCCTATTAGAAGTCCTCGTGGCGCGACTTTCCATCAAAACTGTGCCTGTGATTCTTACGATGGTACAGAGATTCAATGAACTCTTGGAAAAGAAAAAATCAGAAGCTGGTATGCCTTCTGATAGCAAGAGTACTTTATTAGAAGTGCCAAACACGAGTCGATTGTCAAAGGAAAGACGCCTAAGAAAGAAAAACAAGCAGCCCGTTATGCATAGCCAGGTTGCCTTGTTTGTTCAATTTCTCGAAGTAATCATATATCCTAGTCAGTTCCAGGATTCAGACAATGTGGATCTGCAGGCAAAACAGCTGACCATCAATCTAGAAGAACATCCACCAGAGGAGGAAGGTATACGTCGTAACCTGGAAATTACCCTTGATAGCGCCGTATTGGCAAAGAACGTACCTGGGCTTGAACTAATGGCTCGCTATAACGAGCCTTTGTCGGCTACTTTAGCGTCAAAAAACCTCAGTGGCACAAAGATATTCAATATCCCGGGCACAAACATCATGATGAACTCTACACAGCTTGAATCTAATATCGCATACGAATTTAGTTCTGACTTTGCAGGTAGAATAGGCGTGTCACTAAACATTGGATTGATTAAGCAACTCCAAGAAATGATCAACATGTTCAATATGCAACTGTCGCGCGTTCTTGATAAAAAATCCGAAAAAATGCACACACTGGGCGACCCTACAACACCTATCAGTTTGTCAAGTATCGCAGATGACTCGGAAGATGGCGGTAATACACTAGGCAGTCGAAAGGCATCCATGGCGTTAGGTACACCTCGTGTACAACTGAGTGAGGCTATACCTGAAGAGCATCAGGCCCAGATACCTAGTATGGAATCAGAAGAAACCATAGACAGCGAAGCTCCAGATATTAAAATCGCCAATGAGGAAAAATACAATTACGACGCACGAAAGCCGGTAAATTTCCAACCTCAATTGCAGATTATGGGTGATGCAACGCCACCAGTCGAATGGTTAGGATTAAAAAGAGAAAGGATACCTGGGCTGGTTCATGAAAATATCGCTTTACACTTGAATCAGTTGGCCAAGACACTTGGAGATTTATTAAAATCACAAACTCGTTAAACAAATGAGTAAATAAAGCATTTCATTATTATAAAAAGACATGCAGCCTTCTTTCCCTCTCTTTTTCTCTTTCTCTCTTGTTTAAAAAGAAAGTTCAGATGAAGTACAGAGCAATATAGTAACCTTTTCATATGCTATTTCTATAAAGCCTTGTCACAGAAACAAGATAGGGAACTCTGCGCATCCATCAGCAATCGTTTCTTCGCCCTTCCATTATTGTTTTACTATATTCCACCGGGAAGAACAATGCTGTGCTTTTATACTAATAGACATTAGAGTGACGAGTTGCTAGTTGAGGGAAAAGTCATGCCGTTCGATTGTGTGTTTATATGCTGATTTTGACGAAATGGAGTAAATACTTGATTAGCACGTTCAAAGAAGATCTGTGGTAATTGTGGTTGGGATTGCATCATTTGTAAAGGTAAATACGCTATTTGCCCATGATTCATAGTTGATTGAGTATGTGTTCTCTCATGCTTCTTTAAAGATCGAGCATGATAATATGCCTTCCCACATCCTTCCCGCTTACAAATGAAAGGACGCACCTTTGAGTGTGTCTTTATATGGGTTGATAATGAGTCTGGTCGAGTAAACTGCTTTTTACATCCTGTGTTTATATATCCTTGTTAACACCATATATATATCCTCCTTATTATGTGTGCTCTTACCTGGTTCTGGACAAACAAAAGGACGCTCACCGGTATGCACCCGAAGATGAGCAAACATTTTATGACGTTTTGTAAAGGGATTATCCCTTCTTGGGCAGTTATCCCATTCGCAGCGATAAGTTGGTTTCCCTCTGCCCATATGAACATCACTCAAGTGATCAATTAATTTCTGTAGATCATTAAACTCTTCTCCGCAGTCAGTCCATAGACAAATACGTGTGGTTGGCATCTTATTTAAGCCAAAAGGTTCTTCTTCTTCAGAGTGGGTATAGGAAGTTGCTTCTTCTTCTGACAGATGGCTATTCTGTCTGTGCTCTTCTAGCAATAACATCGAAGGCTGCCTCTGTTGCTTTTGTTGCATTTCAAATTGTAATAAGTTGTTAACAAGCTGTTCTGTAGACATGTTTTCGAGATAAACTGGATCATAAACTCCATTTCTCTGTTGTTGTAAGAAGTCAGTAGTTATCATATTAGACTGGTTATTTTGAATAGTTTGTGTATTTGTATCTGTTCGATTCTTTTCATCCAGTTTATAGCTGTTGAGAGGTTGTTCTACAATCAAATTCATGACCATATCATTATCATTTACTGCCACTGTATCAGGACAAAATGACGGAGGAAACAAACCGGGATTACTCAAGTCTTCTTGAGCAAGTTGCTGTAAAAGAAGGTCATCAAGCTGGTCCATTAACAATTGTGGTTCATTTAGAATATCCGTGGGTATATTGTCATATGAAATAGTGTTGCTAGTTGTTGCCATGTGTTGGTAACTTGGCTTGGCAGTGAAAGCAAAGTTATTTGAACATGGAGCTCCAGACGTACCATTCGGAGCAAGTGTAGATAAATTGCCGGGGGTATCACTTTGCTTAAATTGAAGCATGTTCATTGTTGAATCATGCACTACATTTGAATAGTCGAGTTCTTCTTCAGAGCGATATAATACTGCTTCTTCCATTGTACTCTTTGGTTATGTGCGGATTAATACACATCTAAGAATTGTTCAATAATAGAAACAAAACTGAGAACAATTGAACCTTTTTTCCCCTCAATTTTGGGCGAATAAAAATTGTTTTAATGTTTTTTCAATAATTTCAATATGCGTGGGTAAAGCACGCCTCTAAAGGCAGCTACGATACATAAGCATGTCTTATTTCCCCATCTCATATATGTATAAATATAAGGTCTACCTCAGCTTTTTATTTCCTATTTTCCCTGTATTCCTGTATACAAATGGAAGGGCTGAATAAAAGGAAAACAATTTGAGTTTAAAAATAAAGCGTGAGATCATGATTCTTTTTTATTTATCAAAGATGTTTAGTCAATAAAGTAAGTTAAAGGTTCTTCGCGTGACCAAATGGCTGTGCCATCAGTTTTGATAGAGTAAAAGTCGACCTTTCCGTCATGGGATTTATGACATCTTGAAACAAGTGAGACAAAAAGAGAAGGATATGAACAAATAGTTATTACCTGACGTGAATATACTTTTCTTCACCGAGATGAATCTTGCCAAAGTAGTTGATTCCGTAAGCAACCTCTTCAGTTGCATATTCAACTAACACGTAACGCTCGATGCGTTTTAAATCATCTACTTCATGCAAACCGTGTACATTGTCCAAGTGATTAAGCTATTCTCATTTGTTACTCTTTCCTGCTTTTAAAATACGATGCTCTTATCGTTACCTCATGAAGCTAACTAATAGTCAGTGATAACTTCTATTGGCTTGTTTAAAAGCTTACCTTGTCAATGACTTGCTCTTTAACTTCATGAAAGACCTATAACTCATTTAATATCTTCTTCTTCTTCTCTTCAATATCCACTTACAGCCTTTGCTTCTTCATCTGCAGGACGGACGGGGCCCATATTGTTATGACGTTCGTCAGACATTTTTGATTTTTGTAGTAAAAAGAAAAAGAAGAAGAAAGGAAAAGCTAAAAGAATATTAAACGTGCTACTTGCACTGTGTTACTTTCCAATTTAGTGCACTAAAGCGTACCGAGATTTGAATAGCAACAAGCGCCATGCAGATATTAGCAAGTCCGGCGCTTAGTAGATATCTTTGCAAGAAAGTAAAAACATACCGCAAAACTTTTATGGGCATACCAAAAAGAAAATCAAAGCTGGTTTAGTGATAATTAATAGTTCATTTATGACCAAATGTTTAAGAAGCGAAATCAAATACGCACGTTATAAAGATCACTTTTAGATTTTATGTGGCTATGCCCCGTTCAGTGCTGAGAATATCTTGAATTCTAGGTAAACTCCAGTTAATATTGAGGCTGCTTCAAAAAAAGAGGAAAGCTCTTACTGTTGCGATATTCAGTCATGATTGACTTTTTAGGAAATGCTTCGGACACGGCCAACTTTTCCTTGAATGACATCAAAGATGCAAACATTCTTCTTTATTAAACACAATTACTACTTATCTTGTATAATTCAACGTTTTTGTATAGCTTCTGGTGATTAATGGCTTTTTATGGATCAAATGCAAGAACTGGCTATAAGCGCCAACATGTGGGAACTATTTAGGTGGATATTCCATACTTAGAGCTCTACTGTAAACGTAGAAGATTGCAGACTGTCAACATGCTCTCTTGTAAACAACAATAGCTTTTCTAATCAAAGGATATTGAGCAAATATTTCGATTGCTTTAATATACAGAAAGTTTCTTAATAGCTGATTTGGCTAAAGGTTGGTTAAGGTGTACGTTTACACCCATTCTCTGTAGTTTACATCTATGAAAGAAATCATTGGCCAATGTTGTGACAAGAAAACTGTCAAAGTCAGAATCCTGTAACATTCCACGAGCAGCCATTTATGCTAAGCTTTCCATATTTTATGTGTTGTCATCCCGCAACGAAGAAAAAGCCATGACTGGACAAACCAAACCCAGCTACGCAAATTCAAGGTACATGCTGATCAATACTCAAAAAATCTCCATTTGCTTTTTGTAAAATCTGGAGCCAGAGCTAAAAGTACTCCATTGTACTACTATGTGCAGCGCGTAGATTTGTCAAAGGGTTCAAGCTTTTCTTTGCTACGACATGATTGTATCCCCTTCTCAATATGGGATCAATTGTAGCGGAGTAAATACTGTGAATTAATAATCCAATGTGTGTCATCTTTACCTGGTATAGCGCATGATCGGCAACCGCTTGCTTATATTTTCCCATTAAATCAAGCTGTTAACAAGCCATTCTGAAATGCAACTAAAAAAATAATCATGCAAGAAGCTACATGAACTAACCTGCTATAAACAGTTCTATTTCGCAAAAAACAAAACAGGATTATATGGATTATGTTGGCCCGGTGCAGCTTGTATCAAATCAACGCGCATCTTCGGCTCTTGGTAAGCATTGTTGTACAAAGCCAGCACGTTTAGCTTTTGATCTAATGGATCAAAAAATTAAACACTTTTAATGGTAAAAGATCTGCAAAGTACATAGTTTTGATGTTACTATCAAAATAAATGAAAATAAGCGAGCTATCATCTTAGACTGATGGCATATCTCTAAAGATGGTCAGAGCGTGAGATAAACAGTATAATTCTGGATTAGTCATATCATCATAATACGAAGCTTGAAGTATTGTTAGTGTGGTGTGAAGTACGGGTAAAATTCGGGGTCGGAAAAACTATAAAAAAGAAGTGTATATAAATAGGGCGACTTGATTTGAAGGTTCGTCATAAAAAGTAAATCAAAAATTAAACGAGAAAAGGTTGCAGCTCAAAAAATAAATATATGCACCATGGTTACTAACATCTCTTCATTAGTCTAAATGACTAATTCAACCCCAAGCAGTAAGAGCTCTACAGCCACTATGGAAAATACTGATATAGAAGCATCTAAGCAGCAATTTACTGATGATAAACAACAACAGCAACAGCAAGCGTATAATTATAAAGATGATCCCGATAATCCATTGGTAAATTGTTAAAGATTGACTTTTTTTTACACACATTCTGACGATATTATTTTCAGAATTGGTCAAAAAGTAAGAAATATACCGGATTCTTTATCGTGTTCATGATGTCCTTCATGGGTTATTTTACCTCTGCTGTCTATGTAAGTGCAAATCGTAGTGTACATAGTCGTACCTAACAACATATTTAGATGCCAGCAACTCATGATATTATGGTTTATTTCAATACGAATCTCACAGTAAGTCTACATTTCCACAAATATAATCACGTTACACCAACCGATTGTTATCTATAGGTTATCAATGCAACTATTGCGCTATATATCTTGATGAATGCAATTGCTGTAAGAACAAGCATATACTATTTAAGTAATACAACTAAATCCTTTACAGCCTCTCTTTCTGGCACCTCTTAGTGAACGTATTGGTCGAAGGTACGGAAAAGGAACATTGAATATGAGATTTATATTGACATATGAATCAATAGATGGGTTTACATAACCTGTATGGCTATTTATACTGTCTGTACAATTATATGTGGTGTGTCCAAAGGTATTGGTTTATTCTTTGCATTCAGATTGTTACAAGGTATTTTTGGAAGCGTTGGTCAAGCAGTTGGTGGAGGTACCGTTTCTGACATTTTTGAACCTCATGAACGTGGTAGAGCTATGGGTATTTACATCTTGGGGTAAAATATTTATAAATAACAAGGTACTACAGATCACTAACAACTTTATTCTACAGAACCATTCTTGGCCCTGCCATTGCACCTGTTATCGGTGGTTACCTTGATCAATACCTGGGTTGGCGTTGGATCTTTTACATCTGTACTATTCTCGGTGGAGTTATCACTATAGCAGCTCTCCTTTTTCTCAAGGAAACACTTTACAGGCCTGGTCAAAAAGAAGAAGTTGCTCCTATTGGTATTAAAGAACGACTTGAAAGGCTCAAGTTTAATCCAGTAAGTAATCAATTGTAATATCTGACTGTTCAATACTTACTTTGCTCTACAGCTTGCTAGTCTCCAGATGCTCGCCCTTCCTGAAGTTGGCTTATCCTGTCTTCCTGTCAGTATAGCTTTTGGTTGGTTTTACTACTTTGTTACCATTCTCCCACCTACCTTTGGAGAAATCTATGGATTCTCTTCTGGCTCCATCGGGTTATGTTATTTGGCAGGTGGTGTAGGCAACATTGTAGGATCAATCGTAGCAGGGTTTTCATCTGACAAGCTTTACCAAAGAAGTATTGCAAATAATGGAGGCATTGTCGTCAAGGAGTTCCGCTTGCGTACTATTTATTTCAGTGTCTTTTTCTACTTGGCAGGTTCCCTTATGTATGGCTGGTTTCTTCAATACCGTATATTCTGGTTTGCAACCCTTGTAGGATATGCTCTGAGTAAGTTATAGCACTTGTGTTTGAATGTGAATTCATCTCTTATCTAATTATACAGCCACATTTGGTCTCATGTCTGCTATTACTACTGTCAATACCTATATTGTAGAAGCGCATCTTAAAAAGGCTGCCTCAGGTACTACATAAACAAATGTTTATTCCGACGCATTCTTACAAATTATATTGTAGTTGTTTCTTCAAATAACTTTGCAAGAAATACATGTGCAATGATCTTTTCCCTGTGTGCTGTCTCGATTCGAGGATCCTTGGGTGATGGATGGTCTTAGTAAGTTCATTCCATGATTGCGTTTTATATACTTACTGATCCATTTTTTTTAGCACCTTCATGGGACTCATGACCACAGTATCCTTTTTAATATGTATACCCTTAGTACAAAAATATGGTCCTCGCTGGAGAGAATCTGCTAATGCATAATTATGTATTGTATGTATTTAACAAGTAAAATAGACATAGTAATTTTTAATAAATCTATAATCGCTACATTGATTAAAGAGCTCTTATTTTAATATGGAAACATCATTTATACACACTATATTACACTTTGATTCAATAATTAAAAAAGCAAAGACATGCTACCATACTAAATGAGTCTATTCTCTTTGCTTTAAGGATTCAAGAGGCCATACGGGAATCGTCGTGATCGTATAATCATCCACCAGACCTGCTTGGAGTCGTTCAAGCCCAGCCCAAGCTATCATCACACCATTGTCTGTACACAGCTGAGGAGGAGGACATATCAGTGGCAGTCCATAAGCATTTACCAGTGTTTCCAATCTAATATCATGGGTCAGTACATGTTTATAGTCTCTACTTTTGATTCCTACCTTGATCGGAATAACTTATTACTAGCTACACCACCGCTTATAACAAACGCATTCAATGGCTTCTTATTCTTAACTACTTCTTGCTCTAGCGCCAACTTGATCTTTTGTTCAAGATGATTAATGCATATCATTTGGAATGCAGCTGCTAAATCATTGACATCTTTTGAGTTACTGAGATCAATGGATGGATCCTTAACAAGACGATCCATCGCAGACTTTAATCCTGCAAAACTAAATTTCAATTCCTTCTTTCTTGATAGTGACAAAGGTAATGGTAACTTCGAAATGAATCTCTCTGGATCTCCCTCAGAGGCTGCCTTTTCTAATGCTGCACCTGGTCCTCCCCTTCTTCCCTGGATCCAGTTCAGTTTCAGTGACCTCGATGCTTTATCAATCGCTTCGCCTACAGCATTATCCATTGTGCCTGCAAGTTCACTATAATCACCGACATTATTTGCTGTCAACAAAAGTGTATGTCCGCCAGATATAAGCAGTGTCATAAACGGAAACTGTGGGTATGGCGCATTATCTGCATTGGGTGTTGTCAATCTAGCTGTCAGCGCATGGGCTTCCTGTAGTCGTCAATGTTATTTTGTGTGATGATAATCTAATGAAATTATCTTTACCATATGATGAACGCCAATCAGCGGCTTTCCACATACAGCTGCCATTGTCTTTGCAGCGTTTAAGCCAACAGGAAGACAAGGAGGTAATCCAGGACCTCTTGTTACTGCAATGGCGTCTAAATCTTGTACAGTTAATTTAGCCTTTTGCAGTGCCTCACTGACAACACCAGGTAAGTTGCGACTATGACTTTCACAAGCCAACATGGGTACGATGCCACCTTTGGGTTCATGTAACTCTTGTTGGCCACGGACTACTTCTGCAAGGATTTGACGATCTGAAGTGACAATGGCTGCGGCAGTATCATCGCAAGAGGTTTCTATTCCAAGAACTTTCAAGGGTCTTTTAGACGGTAATCTCTTGCTTATTCCAAATATGTTTCTTATAAAGCTCATTATGAAAACAAAACTGTCAAAAATAAAGCCCCTTGCTGTATCGGCCCTAATTTATTCTTCCTTTTTTGGAAATTAGCTCCTTTCAAACAAAACGTGTTTCATGGCATCCGTTGCTATGGATACAAGCAGTAAAGTGTAAAAAAAAAAAAAAAAAAAAAAAAAGGGCAATCATATGATAGACTAAAAATAAAAATCAAGTTCTACTTTATAAATACTATTAAATAAGTGCATATATATATGCGTGTGTGTAATTATATACAAATTAGAGGAAAAGGGTAAAGGTATACTTGAATAAATTAAAAATCTGGAAACAAATCACGGAAAGAGTCGTCTTGAGGTTGATTGCTTATACTCTCTTCAGGATACTTTTCAAAGTTACTAGTATCATATTCATTTGAATGCGCTGGGATAATAGGTGCCTATAGCAAGTTAATATCTTACAGAGAACATGCACACACCATTCAACTTACTCTAACCGTTTTATTAAGTAACCCATGCCAATCAGTAGTGCGAAACCACTTGTGTCTTTTAACATCATCTGCCCCGCCTTTTAGGTTACCTAACCTGCGTGTTCTATCAACAACGAGAAGTTTCTTGAGTAGATCCTTTGCCGCATTTTCGAAATAACTTGGGTACTGTACTCTACCGCCTAGGATGCGTTCATAGATACCGAAATGGTTGTCGTCGTAGAATGGAGGATGGCCAGCCATCATTTCATATATCAGTATCCCAAGTGACCACCAGTCAACTGATTTACTATGGCCCTTACTTTGAATAATTTCAGGTGCTAAATACTCTGGTGTACCACAAAGAGTCCACGTCCTGTCCTGTACTTTCTTTGCAAAACCAAAATCAGCTATTTTTACATATCCTCGGTTGTCTAACAGTATATTTTCTGGTTTTAAATCACGATAGATGATATCCTTTGAATGAAGGTACTCTAATGCCAATACTATCTCTGCTGCATAGAAACGAGCTGTGTCGTTGGGGAATCTACCAGATTTTCTAAGATGTCTAAATAATTCGCCTCCAATGATATACTCTTGAACCATATACAAATTGACTTGATCTTGAAATGTACAATATCTATATTCATAGTGAGTATAAGCGTATATGAAAGAACACATCTTGTAATTACACTTCTTACAGTTGTACTATAAATGGAAAGTTGATTTGAGAAAGCACTTCCCTTTCTGAATTAATGTGCTCTACTTGCTTTAGCTTTACGATCTCGGCTTTCTTTAATACTTTAATCGCATAATACTTCTTGGCCCTTTTTTCTTTTGCCAAATAAACTCTTCCAAATGTGCCCGTTCCTATATAAAAAAGATGAGATTGATGCAAACTATATTTTATAAACCATCTACCAAGTGTTTCAATAAGTTCATAGTCATGAATACCCACAGAAGGCGATGGATCAAATATAGGAGGTTGACTATGTATCTTCTGTAGTTGCTCTTGATGTGCTATCCATCTTTCCGAGTCAGCAGAGGATTTAATGGTTGACATATCACTCTGATCGTCCTTCTTTGTCCATAAACCCTGTATTGTTATGGTCGGACTGAAACTAACAGATGCTGAAGATGCCGATTCTTTTGGTGGAGGTGTAATAACAGTGTCAGTACGCTTGAAGAAAGAAGTGACCAGGTTGGAAATTAGTTTTAAAGGCATCGTTTCTTGCTATTTTATTGCCTCTGAAAGAAAACGAGAAAAAGACGAGATGAAAAATTAAAGCAGAATGAAATGTTCGGTGTTTAGATTTTAAGCGAACCCGTTGCTAGACACATGATTTCCAAACTGGAATACATGTCCCCAAGCAAAAGTCTGGGCTACTTGCTCTTTTTAGGAATTATCATTGTTCTGCTTTCCAAATCAATTTTGATATTTTGATTTAAAACAGTGATAAACGTTTGTAATAGATGCACACATGACAGAGCACTTGCATTGAACCTGCAGCAATTGGGAGCCAAGGGAGATACCCTGTGCCACATTTTACTGCTAGATCCCGAATTCTAATAGCTTGGGCAAAGTTAAGCTATTGACCCAGTCATTATTATTAAATGACCATGATGCCACGCATATACAAGAGTGTCATATTGGTCAAATGAGTTTTGTATAGAATGGGTTTAGAAATACCCTGTAATGTTTCTTCTGCATCATTTATTGCTTGAATAGGAAATCATGCGCAAATGTAGAAGCATTAGTATGTCCACATACACTGTTCTAAAGTCGTAAGGAATAACAGAGTGAAAAAGTGAATAAAGGACAACACGGTCAACATGTATTATCGTCTTGGTATTGTTTTCCAGCTTTATCCCAATGACACAGCAAAACATGACAATCATTCTTTAAAGCACAAGATACAGGAGAAAAATTAGACTGCTGCAGGCTGATTAAATGCAGCCAGTAGCCAATAAAAGAGAAAAGATGACTTTGAACGTATAAGAAAAATGAATGGTAGAAGGTCATTGTATGTTTTTCTAAAGGCTACAACGGATGAAATGGACCAATGTCCACAATAAAAGGCTAATGAATAGTTGCGGATAATGTATCTATCCATACACTATTCCAAGGTTATACTTGTACTTTTTACTTTCATACACTCCAGAGCACATTATTGTAGCTTACTTCAAGTGCAATTTAGAATATGTTTACTCTGAAGTAATCTCCATCAAATGGAGCATATCGGACTCTGTCGACCTCAACGTGAGAGGCTTTTACCGGGGAAAACATACATAATTGCAATGTATGCTGGGTTAAGCCGACATTAAAGCCTTCATGACATCACTATACTGAGTTTATTGGATCCTGCAAGACTTCTTGTAGAAGACGTTATTGAAACAATAGTAGCTATAGAATTTGAGGTGTTCTTTTGGTTGTAGTAACACCACCACGGACAATATAAACGTAAGGTTTATTTACCGCCAAAGACACTTCTTTCTTTTCCCTTTAGCTTTTTACAACATGAGCACTAGTAAGAATGTTCATAAAGCTACACACAGGCTTGACCAAATAAAGAGACAGCTCAATTTGAGCCCTTCCACGATGTCTACACAAGCGCCTAAAGACATGGAAAGGGAAAGACAGTCCGTATCATTCAGTATAGAAGCGCTTTCTCATTTTTGGATGGGTGGAAAAGAAAAGTATATACAAAGGGTAATAAAGACAATATAGAAACACTTCTATGTGTTTACACTATGTTTAGCAAACTGCATACGATTACATAAAACGTGATCCAGAACTCGTAGTTCAACCACCAAGAAATATCTTGGACTTTACAAAGGAAGAATGGCGAGAATTGTACTTTGTTCGACTGTACATCTTTATAAATATATTCTAATTACAAATCTGTAGCACAATGGGACAAATATACAGGCTTGTTCAACTAAAGGAGGAGTTAAAAGATAACCAGGGCCTGTTTAAAGAAATTGTCGAAGCTTCGTTCAACTATTCCGAAAGCTTATGCATGCGAAACGGCGTTCATGAAACACTGTTTCGCAGTGTAGTGGAGATGATGGGCAACAATGACCAACGATCCTACTGGGGCAAACTATTGAACGACTATAAAGTGATTGGATGTTTTGCCATGGTACCATTCAATGCCAACTATAACATTAATGTGACACCAACTGACTGCCAAACATAGACAGAACTAGGACACAGCTCTGCGCTACGTGGTATTGAAACAACAGCGACATTTGACATTGAAACAGATGAGTTTGTCATTAACTCCCCTACTATTACATCTACTAAATGGTGGATTGGACTCGCCGGACAAACGGCCACCCATGCTGCTGTCCTTGCACAAACGACTATTCATGGCAAGAACGTTGGCGCCAACTGGTTTATTATTCCTCTCCGAGACTCAGTCAGTGGTGAGCAGCTTTCAAATATTCGTGTAGGCGACATAGGTACCAAAGTTGGTCATCAAGGAACAGATAATGGTTGGATTCAATTTCATAAAGCACGTGTGCCAAGGAAAAATATGATGTCAAAATGGGCCAGAATCGATCGTCATGGCACATATCAACCTGCACCAAATCCTGCTGTGATGTATGCTACGTTGATACCCGAAAGACTGGGCCTGGTTGACGTGTCTACCACTTTAATCAGTCAGGCACTTACAATTGCTGTGCGATATGGCGTGGTGCGTCGTCAAGGTTCAAAGAACGAACAAATTATGGACTATCAGTCACATTATGCAAAACTGATCCCAGCTATATCGTTTATGTATATGGTCAAAAGCTCGCTCAGAACAATTTACCAGCAATTTGGAATTTTGACTGCTGGAGGAGAAATTGAACAAAAGCTGTATCTCAATCATATGGGCGACGTGCACTGTATGTCTGCGTCATTGAAGGGTTTGTCCGGTAGTCTTTCAGCTAGTATCTTAGAAGTGTGTCGTCGTTGCTGTGGAGGACACACCTATTCTGCTTATAATGCTCTTGGTCATCTAACAGCTGACTGGAACGTAATGACAGTTGGTGGAGGTGATGATACTGTCTTACTGCAGCAGGCTTCCACCTACTTATTGCATCGTTTCAACCAGAAAATAAAACACAATACATATCCCGAATTCAAATACGAAAGCTCAACTTCATACTTCACATACGCTGAAGAGTTACTGGCTGCAAAAATATGGCATGTGGAAGAAGTAGATGATTGCTTAAAAGATCTAAATCTGATCCAGGAAGCATTACAGGTCATACTTGCAAAGAGAGTAAGTTTACAAAGTAACGCTTGGTTGGCTCACTTTGACTTTAATATGATAGCTCTTTAGCATTCAGCAAGCACTTGAAAATGGAGCTACTCATAATGATGTTTTGCTCGATGCCAATAGAGTGGCAGAGCTTCATTGCGCCACATTCTTATACTCGGACAATGCAAGACGTTTTTCAGTCATCAATAACTCTTCTCTAGATACAAGCGTTGCAACTATCATGAGGCAAATGACGGTCCTATGGGGACTCTATGTCCTTCGTACATATGGAGATCAGGGATTCCTAGAAGGATACATTTCTCCACAACAATTGAAAGGCATTGAAAAAGCATACCTCAAGGTACCTTCAATATCCATTAGAACATTTTCTTTTTCTAAAGTTTACTTATGGATATATAGCTTTGCAAAGACCTGAGAAAAGACGTGGTTGGTCTTACTGATGCCTTTGGTTTACCTGATTTTGTCTTGAAAGCTCCTATTGCTCGCTATGATGGCGATATTTATCAGAGTAAGGAAAATGATCCTTTGTACCAAAGCTGTATATTCACAGTCTTTTAGACTATTTTGATACCATCTTACAGGCACCTAATAGCACAGGTGTGCCTTCTTACCATGGAAAGTATATCCGACCATTAACTGAAAAGTTTAGTCAAATACCACTCGAGGAAACTTGTAACAAAACACAATAAAGTATTTGATGGTTTATCTTTGCCCAGGGGATTTTTTTATTCTAAAGCATCACTTTATAGGATGCTTACACAACAAGCTCACTAAATCGTAAGTCAGCTTCTTCATTTAGCCATTCAATCCATCTCTTTAAGAATCCAGAGTCATTCCTATTGAGTGTTGATCCACCCCCTTTGTTTCCCAAAAGAGTATCTGAATCACATATAACGCATAAATGTCTCTTTGCTCTCGTCATAGCCACTAGTATAAGCCAAAGATGTATCAGTAGCCGATAAGTTAATAGCAGTATACATACCATTAAGTCTTCTTTTTTCTGCAAGGAATCCGACCTCACCCATTTCGTTAGAGCGAACAAGTGATAATATAATTGCTTCTTTTTCACGACCTTGGAATCCATCTACTGTGCCAATTTCGATCCCTGGCCAATGCTCTCTAATTTCTCTTCGTAGCTTTGATACCTGAAATGCATATGGCGTAATGATACCGACTTGATCTTCTTGAAGGCCATCCTCTAAAAGAGCTTTAACATGCTGTACTGCTAGTTGAACCTCTAATTCGTTTGCTTTGCTTTGTTCTTCCTGTGCATCGTCAGTTACTTCATGCGATAGACCGGTATCGCTGGTATCTATCATGACAATTGGTGATTCCGTGTTTTCAGTGTGCTCTACTTCGGGAAGATCGGCCAACACGTGTTCTGCTACGCTCTCGTCTGCAACAAGTTTATTCTCGTAGAGCTCTTTTGAGCTAAACTCCATGATTTTCTTGTGCATGCGATACTGAACTGTCAGCATTCTTTTGATCCTATCGCCGTACATGGCCAAAAGTCGATCAAATAAGGTGGTTGTCAGGTCAGTATCTGTAGACAGCCCCTTTGATTTTAACGACGTTTGAATTTTTATGGGTGACTTTACTGTTGGTGGCAACTGAAGGTGATCTCCTGCCTTTAGTACACAAGCTCAAGATTAGTACACTATGACATCTCAGATAGCAATATACATACTAAAATTGCTTTCTTTGCCTTTAAAAGAGCTATCCAGCATTCAGCTTCTAAAGCCTGTGTTGCTTCATCGATAACAACAACATCAAATTCCCTATTCATCATATTTCTGCTTGCAGCCCTATTGTCTTGTTTTATTACAAGTTCAAATACATAAGCTAAAGAAGTTCCATACTTACCCATTCAGTGTAGAAATCGTCACCTGAGCATTTGTCAATACTTCATCTATTACCTTTCTCTCTCTAACTCTATAATCTTTTCTCAAGTCCTTCATGAGGGAATACATTGCTCTTCTTTCTGCTCTATTTTTGGATTTTCCAATTTTTGCCAAGGTGTCATCCATTTCCTTTCGTATATCTGCCACAATTCTTCCAGAATCACAGGTACGCGTAATAACATCTAATGTGTGATCTATTACTGTTGGCAATACACGAGCAGGGTGTCCTACACGTACAACCTGAAGTCGGTGTTGAGCTAGTCTTTCAACTAGGTTATCTAAGAAGAAAAGTGTCAGTTGATGTATCATTGCTTTACCGGCAGCATTACCAACTGAAATATTGGATGGTCCACAAACTAATACTCGCTGACCTTGATTTACAACCAACTGTCTGATTATCTCTACCAGTGTATAAGTTTTACCGGTCTATAGGTAAATACGTTAATGAACAATATAAAGGCAAAAGTTAAAAGTTTATTACCCCAGGTGGCCCATGAACCAAAGCAATCTCATTTGAACCAAGTGCAAAGCGTACCGCTTCCTTTTGGGAACCATTTAGTGTTTCATCAAAAAACTGAATATCGCTCATCCTTTGGGGAGTTGAGATATCAGATTGTCCTAAAAGAACATTTATAAGCCCGGATCCTCCTTCGTCACATCTTTGCTGTAATGCTTCTAGTCCCTTTAACATTCTACATATAAATTTTGGATGAGAAATATGATCCCCTGCTGTCACTATTGATTCATCTACCTTTCATAGGTGATACTGTTTGCCAACTTTACACTAAATTACGAAGTATTAATACATGCCAAAATACGCAGGGCTCACTTACATTTGACAGCGTTCCTGAAGCTCAGCCGGAAGTTCATCTTCTATTTCCTGAGAGAGGGCAACAGTAATTCTCGATTCTGTCACACGAGCAACAACACCAGACCATTTATCGACATTCTTTGAAGGTTTATCTTTCTTGTATACATCAAGACCGACGATATCTCCTGTTGTTATTTTATGTGCAGGTAAAATAGGCGGCAGAATATTTGGATTAGCAAGCTCGAGATCGATCAAACTACAAGAGGAGGCTAATTTCAGCACCAAGAGCAGAAAATGAACATGCAACTGTATTACCTTTTGCCTCCTAAGCCAGTTCTCATTCCTTCACATGATGAGTGTTATGCCATGTATGATATTCAACCAATACCTGTTATTTTTAAGCCAACAAGAGCAATACCGCGTCGTTGAAGTTGAATGGGCGCATAGGAAGATAGTAGCTTTATTGTCTCTTCAACATCTACCTTTCTTTCAGTCTCTATCAACTCCCTTTGATGAGCAATGAATTTCTCCATTTATGCAAGATGTCTAGAAATTATGCTTTTTTTTAGAAAGAAAAAAGGCAAATAGACAACTTGCACAAGAAGTACATAAGAAATGATGTAAAGTCACAACAATGGTGTCAATATGAATCAGTCATAATGTATATAAGCAAATGCATACATAAGCTCTCTCTATCTATCAAACACCACATCGATCTAGTTATGATGACTCATGTGTTATCATCTATCACTCAAATCGCAAGACGATGTCGATCCTTGGTGACATCAATCAATGGGTAGACACTAGGGTGGGCAGGACACCGTATCGTTTCCCGGATGATTTGAATAGAGTCAACACTACATACACCAGAAAATAGGCTAATGCTACGGGCGCTTCCTTGGGGTACTACCTATGTGTGTCACTTTACAACTTCACACTACCAAATTCTTTGCCTAATCTAAGGCTTGTCCAGTTCACTCTCTCTGATCTAAAACACGATGTCATCATAGTTATACGTGTTCTTGCATCTTTCTTGATAGGGCTGACAACATAAAATTAGAATAAAAAAAAAACATTTCTTTTTTATCTCTTTCTTCCTGAAAAGAAACAGACCAATATGCGACTTTATAAAGTCATATTTAGCGTGGTTCCATACGCTAGAAAGTTCTGTTGAAGAGCATCATAGGTAATGAATAGAGGTACAGCGAATTTACGAAAAGATTGACAAATTGTATGACAAGGATACATCGGCATTGTCAGTCATAGCAAACAAGGATTTAAATAGACAATTAAAAAATTTGTCCTCGATTCTCTCATCAGAAATCTCAAAGGGTAACGAAGGTATCGCCAGTAATATTTGCCATTGATTTAATGAAGCATCCTGTTGAAAAATCCGATACTCAGTAAAATTCATGTAATTTTAAGATGTTCGCACTGGAATGTGTTTCATGTGAGTGGTATACTTATTTATTTACTATACTGTATACAGTGAGTGGAATTTACAAGGCATCAAAAAATGTTTTATTAACAGTGTTTATGAATAAAGTCATCTTATATTTTTTATTCAACTTGTAATATTTGATTCAGCAAACATATAAAAAAAAAAGAAATAAAAAACAAGTATAGAAATAAATTAAAGGAAGAGGTTAAGTCGATTGAATGATATAATAAATGGTATATAATTGCAATACTGTATTCCTTGAAAAATAAAACAATAAGATAAATTCTGTCATAATTTAATGAATATTTAAACGAGCAGACAAGGTTTCTTCTGTAGCAACGTTGATCAATCCAGAATTTTCTTTTCTGATTTGAATACTGATTATCTCTTGTTCAGTCAGTTCCAGATACAATGTCGTTAATAATTCAAACATCGTGACCCAATCAAATCGATCATTCCAAGCAACAGGAACTCGAGCAGATCGCAGCTCAACAAATTTCCATTGTGAATCATTCTTCAAGTTCATTTTCGAAAGAGTTATAGTGTTTTTGATTACTTGGATACCAAATGTTGATCGTTTTAATGCTGTTTGAAAGCTGCATTTGTTGAACTGCCTGAGGATGTAGAAAAGGGCACCATTACATTCACAAATGAGTTTTAATGTATCCTCAAGAGTGTGGCTCACATTTTCTTGCATAATACCGCTCGAAGATTCAATAAACAATGTTTCATACTTGTTTAACCTTCCTAGTCCATCAGAGTATTTTTTTTTTTTAACCTCGGCTGGTAAAAAGTCAACTTCTGCTATCTGGGCATACGCTTGCGTTTCTACCATTTTTTCACACCATGAAAATCCCAATAAGTTTGTTTCTTTAGCCAAGTATTTAAACATTGGTACAACGTACTCAACAAAAGGAGTTCTCTCGTGGTTATTATTCGAAGCCATATGTTGCTTACAGTTACAATGATAGTCTGTGAGAGTATATGCTATCAAGTTTGCAAACTGCTTGGTTCTAATATCTTCTGATCGGTGAATAGAATGGCTCCAAATATTAGGCAGAAATTCAGTAAACTCATAGCTTAAAACATCCCGAAGATAGTCCATTATATTACTAACTTTTGATAAGGAGGTATTCTTTTGTTGGTTGTGCTGGTTGTCCTTGAGTTCCTTCATTTCATTAGTTTTGGAGTATTTAGGACTGTTGATCAAGGATTCAATACCTAGAGCATAACTCTTCATGATCGTTTCAATATCTATAGCTCGTATTTTTGGTGTATGTGGCATAACTAAACAGGATGCTGGAGGTTTGAAGTTATACGTTTTTGTGTTTTTCGTCAAAGTAATTGTTGCACCTGGTTCTCTGAATTGTTCGCCCCTAATTTGATCACCAGAATTATCGTTTTCAATTTGCTCACCAGTGTCATAAACGCCAGCTTTACTCTTTCCACCATCTCTATCTTGCTCGCTGCATCCTGAATCACTGCTTGAGCCTGCTGTGCTTGTTTGATCGCAAAGTACTTCTTTTCGGTACTGCTTAAGTGAACTGTACGTGTAATCGACTGCAAGAAGCTCAGCTTCCTGTGCTGTTCTTTTTTTTGCTGCATTTATTTTTGCCTGCTTCAAATAACTTTCATTTATCTTCAGTAATCCTCCAGCTCGTTTGATAAACTTGGTTTTAAATCCATTTTTTGAGCAATAGTTATATGCAATCCTAAGGTATTCCTTTGCATGCGTAGCTAGCTGAAAATCACTATCATTTAAAATACTCAAACGATACATGTTTTGAATTATATCAAAATAGGTATGCTCAAGATTTATCTGATCAAGAATATGTAAAGGAATGGCATCGACATGGGCAGCAGGATTACAAAAGTTAATTAATGGGATAGTGAGTAGATAAGGCTCAACTCCTAGTTTTTCCCTTATTTCATTTGGTATTGTATAATCTTTGTTAATTTCACAGATTGGTTTTGGCGTTCTCATGGGGAACAATATTTAAAAGAATAGAGAAGAAGAAGCAATGGTTATTTGCAAAATCTGCCACATAGAATTCGTTACGAATTTTTAAAGAGCAAAGCTCCAGGTACCAACTTTTTGTAATTTATTTGATGGGAAATACTTTTTATTTATCATATATCTTGTGATGAAAGACATGCCAAATAGAGCTGATATGATTTGGCAGCCAACTCTTTAAAGTTTAAGGAGGTGAATGCATCCTCCTTTTTTAATCTTTCCTTTTATACATAACTGCATTATCAGGAAATTGTGGGCGCAATATGATAAGGTTTGGCAAATTTCTTGCATGAAAAATGACTAAGTTGGGAAACACGAACTTATGTTTATTTACTTGATGAAAAATACTTTGCGCAGTTCAGCCACTGTTTCATATAATCGTAAACAAACAACTAAAACAATAAGGAGGTATGTCACTCGACGTTAAAAAGTTGGTGCAAAACCATGGTGCGCAGAACTTTATCCTTTGCAATATTTCTGTGTTAATAAGTACTTATAATATACCTGTATTAAAATAAAGGAGAAAAAGACTATATGTTGATGAGACTCTTGAACCTCCTTATTGAGAGAGAACTAGATGAGAAGCTCATTAATACAAAGTAAGGCTTAGTATATAAAATAATAGTTTACAATCCGACATGTTACAAATTAAATTAATAGAGGTGCGTAATGCTAAATGTAGAATGGTTATAAGCAGTGTAGTAATGGGGTAAGATCACACAAAGATTAGTTAGTAAAGGAAGGATAAATACGACACCCTTTTTAAATTAGGGATACGGTAAAAGTCATTCTCGTTTTCCAAAAAAAAAAAAAAAAGATGATGCCATTCATGCACTTTTATAAGGGGTTCTGCACTCATTTTTTTACAATTCTTTTTATTACTCATTTTGCAAAGCCAATCCTATAAGTCCAAAGGGAAGCACCTTCTTCAGCTCTTATTAAACCAGACAGAGGCCAGTCTTGGAAGAGAGGGAGGAGTCACTGTAACTTTTGGTTGGTACAGACTCATCTAGCGTTTGGAACGTGATGGCATGGCTCGCCGATGCTCTGTTCAATTAGCTTGACAATTTTACGATTTTAATTCTTCAATAAGATCAGTCGTATATTTTATTTTATTAGTACGTGAGTAATAATAAGATCACAAATTCATCTTAGATGCTGTAATGTTTTGCCTCTGAAGTACTTTAATGGTGGGATACGAAGATATGTTAGGGATATTTGTGGAATATTATCAAGTCTACGAACAAATACAATTATTCTCTTTACTAGATGATCAGCCAAATCAGTAACTCAAGCTTCTCTGTAACATTGAACATATTAAAAACCCAATCCTCGATTTCATTCGGATATGAACAAGGCTATTACAGAAATCCGCTGGGACTTTTAAAAAGAAATTGAACTAGTTGGCGCAGCAAGTTTGCTTTGATGAATCAAGATAGAATGTCTTATACTATTCGTGACTCCTTATGAAAGCAATTGTATTAATAATACTTGACTTCTTTTGAAAACTTTGATAACTTGTAAATTGTATAAAAATATTAGAATTTCAGTAAAGAGAGCAACACGCTTTTGAACAAGTTTTAAATAAGGAAATCTCCCAGTTTTCTACTTGTACAGCTTTATCGCAATGCTTCATCAGAAGTTAACCGGTACTTACGCCCACAAGATTATTAAGTGCTTCATTTAACTTAAACCACCTCACGGTACGTTGTCACAAATCAATAAAGGGTGCTTTTTTTTATGAGCAGACCAGTTATTAATTTTATCCTTCAAATATCTTTAAGCCGTCGTCTCACCAGAGTGAGATGCGGCAACCACATTGGAGATGGTGCTTTGTCATTGGAAGATATTAAGACGACCATTGCCGTTCCAGATAGTTCATCTTCACCACCTCCACACCTTAGATTTTTCAAGTTTTTTTTTTTTACCAAGTAGCTGTTACAAGTCGATAGAAAAGTGATATTTTATTATACGACTATCGATATTAAGTGAATGTTGTTTTTGTATACCTTCGAGATATTTTATCAACTGAATTGTATTATATTTTTACGTTTATATGAACAATAGATCGCGTACATAAGTCAAAGTTACCTTGTCAGAAACGTTACAGATGAATTCAGATAGGACTTCTCTCTTTACACATTTAAATAGCTCTTGTCTTTGCTTATCGTGGAATTAGAATGTTTTTCCTTCTCTCTTACAAAGAGAAAAGATCAAGTTTTGATTCTTAAACCATAAAGAGGTGTTTCATTGAATTCAAGAAAGATACAGCGTTTCTTTTCTCTAACGCTTGATTTCAGCCAATCAAAAGTTGTATTCATGGCTAACCTTTCTGAGTTTTAATCTTTATAAACCGTCCCAAAGCTCCAGAGGTCCCAAAAAAATGCTCATTTCAACCCCATTCGTTATGCAACTTCTTTTTTGTTGTTGTTACTGACATCAATAAAAAAAATGGCTGAAAAAGAAGACGAAGAATACAAGGTATATATATATTTTATTAATATGACACGAGATTATTCAATATACAATAAATAGAGACCTCAATCATCATCTGAAGAAGAAGAGTTTGTAGAAGAGGATCAGCCCAAGCAAAAAGCTACCAAGAAACAAAAGACCGAACAGCAAGTAGGTGAAAAGCGAAAGAGGGAAGTAGCTCGTGATGATAGTGGTGACCAAATATTCGAAGTAAAATAAATGAATATCAAAAGTGTGTTTGTCAAACTCACGCACAACATTAGTTATCTTCAAAAAGAAGAGTTACAGTTCGTTTGTTCAAGACAGGCGATGGGTCTCCTTCGGTAGATATTCGTGAATTCTATAAAGATAAAGCCTCGGGCGAGATGCGACCAGGAAAAGGTTTGTTTAAAAAGTTCAATGCCATGTGTTTTTACTCATTTATAGCCTAGTTGGCATTTGCTTTCCTGTTGCTCAATGGAACAAATTAAAAGAGCTCATTCCAGATATAGACGAGGCTATTGATGCACTACAAAAAAAATAGACTGTGTTGACTCTGGATGAGCAATAAAAAAGTGACTCATTCAAATTTTTTAATTTAATTCCGTCTCTGTTTTTGATAAGTCGTCCTTTTTTCTTCTTATAGTTTAAACATGCCCTTTGATCTTACCAAAGTCATTAGACCCAATATTTTGGCATTGAAACCATATCGATGTGCTAGAGATGATTATAGTGAAGGTGTCTTATTGGACGCCAATGAAAATGCCTATGGTCCTGCTTTGACAGGTGAACACAAGGGAGACTTGAATCGATACCCAGATCCATATCAATCTCAAGTGAAAGAACGTATTATGAACCTTAGAGGACTAAAGTCTATTCAAAACCTATTTTTGGGCGTTGGTTCAGACGAAGTAATTGACTTGCTCATTCGAATTGCTTGTGTGCCTGCAAAAGACAAGATCTTGATTACTCCTCCTACCTATGGAATGTACTCTGTATGTGCTCAAATTAACGATGTTGAAGTTGTCAAGTCTAAGCTTGTAGTTGAAAATGGTGCTTTCCAACTTGACCTGGAAAATGTAAATGATATAAGAAAAGAAAAAAAGAAAAAAAAAATAACATGAAAAAATATAGGTCTTTTCTTGCATTAAGACAAACCCAGAAATTAAAATAGTCTTTTTGTGTTCACCAGGAAATCCTACAGGCACTTGTCTGACTCACGACAGTATTCGTGCTGTTTTAGAATCCGATTACCAGGGCCTTGTTGTTGTTGATGAAGCATATGTTGACTTTGTTGATAAGGAAGAAGGTTCAGTTGCCACCTGGGTTGATAAGTATCCCAACTTGGTTGTCATGCAAACACTCAGTAAAAGCTTTGGTCTTGCTGGCATCAGGCTAGGTATTGCTGTAGGACATCCTGAGTTGATTCAAATCTTGAACAACACAAAGGCACCTTATAACATCGGTACACCCAGTGCCCTGATTGCTGCTGAAGCATTATCAGAAGAAGGCCTGCAAAAGATGCACGATTACCGTCAACGTCTGATCGATCAACGTGGATTGTTGATTGAAAAGTTAAAGGCTATCTCTGGTACAGGCCGTATCTTGGGCGGTAATGATGCCAACTTTGTTCTTGTCGAGATTCTCGGATCCGATGGACAGCCCTGTAATGATCGTGCTCACAAAGTTTACAGCATGATGGCTGAAGCTCTGGGCGTTGTCGTTCGTTTCAGAGGAACAGAGTATGGCTGTAACGGATGTCTGAGAATCACCGTGGGCACTGAAGAAGAGAATGCAAAGATGCTTAATATGCTGGAAAAGGCATTGAAGGATACAGCCTAGATAATAAAATGTGTAAATACTGTAAAGATTTCTTGTTCTCTCGTACACACTCGTATACTTGTTTTATTAAATATTTCATGCGAATATTTAAAGCAAGCTTCAAAGGATCGTCATTGTTGACTTATTTTATTATTCGCATTTGACAGAGCAAATGATCAAAAAAGGACCAAAGTAATGTGGTAAAATGAAAACTTCAAGTCGAGATATTCTGTAATGACATGAAATTGCCTTTTTTAGATGCAGTTTTTACAAAATCTTTTTTTTTCCGCAAATGTTGCTTTGAAGCTTACATGATGCCAACGGGAATAAAATGAATAAAATAAATGAAAATTGAGCATTATCTTGCATTATATTTACATTAAAAGGATGAAAAAAGGAACATGTTTATGGCGTGTGTTGAATAACTCTCTTATGCAGTTCATGTAAAGCCTTGCTGTCTCCTTCCATTGTTATACATTGATGCTTATGTGTGACAGCCTAAAACACATAAATTGCCCACACTTTCATTATCTCTCTTTCTCTCTCTTTTTTTCTTGCCCTTTTTTAATCTCATTGATCTTTCCATATGACTGATACCATATTAACTCGCACCCTTGGACTATCTGCTGCAGTATTGACTGCCTTGGCAATAAAATACCCAGATCGAGCTGTATTTGATGAACATCGCGAAGGCATCTCTTACAAAAAGGGTTGGCCACTTCTAGGTGGCTTACCTGCCATTTTATCTAATGCAGAGAAATTACACGATTTTTTCATGAATGGATTTACTGAAATGGATTCATTAACAACGTAAGAGAGTTCTTTATTAACCAAAAAAAGCTTATTTTTAATCTGTTACATAGAACAACATCAGCCTTTGGTATGCCTCGTGCCATTGCCACCATTGATCCTAGAAACGTTGAACACATTTTAAAAAGTAAACTGAAAAAACACAACAAATGACATTTTTAACACTTTTTTAATAGATAATTTTGAAAATTATGCAAAAGGACCTAATTTCAACGCTTCCACAGAAGATTTATTAGGTCATGGTATCTTTAATGCAAATGGAGATCAATGGAAATATCAACGAAAGACAGCAAGTCATATATTCAATGTCAAGAACTTTAGAGATCATTTTACAGAGTAAAAAGAAAATACCAAACACACTAGATGTCACTGACTTGTATCACATAGAGTGTTTGTCAAGGAACTAGGAATCATGTTTACAGGCATCTTTGATAAAGCAGCAGAAACAGGAGAGATTATAGATTTTCATGATATTATGTTCAAGTTTACCCTAGACTCTTTTATTCTGTAAAGTATCCCTGCTTCTCTCTCATACATCACCACTCACTCCTTAAATAGCCTCGGCTTTGACGTCCAATTGAACGCACTGAGCAGCAAGGACAAGGTCCCATTTGCTGCTTCCTTTGATGAATGTCAACTCAACAGTTTTCAAAGGTTTGTCAATCCCTTCTGGAGACTGACAGAGCCTGTCTACACCCTCCTTCATCCATGGCAAAAATCAATCAAGCAGCACCTCAGGACCATAAACGAATTTGCCAATCAAGTGATCGAGAACCGTCGAACGGACATGGAGAAAGGAATCAAGACGCACCGTGACTTACTGTCGAGGTTCATGAACGCGACAAATGAGCATGGAGAACCACTGAATAACAAGGAACTCAGAGATATCGTCCTGAATTTTGTCATTGCTGGTCGAGACACAACGGCTCAGGCTCTATCGTGGACCTTTTACAATCTACTACTACATCCTCGAGTAGAAAAGAAACTGTTGGAAGAAATCCAATTGAATATCACTGACGAATTGATGGATAATCCTGTCGCACTCTATGACGCTATAAAGAAGATGAACTATGCGCATGCTGTGTATGTATCACTTGGCTTTAAAATAACAGAAACTCATCTATTTGATTTAGGTTTTATGAAGTACTTAGGCTTCATCCTTCCGTACCTAATAATCAAAAATACGCCCTCAATGATGATATCTGGCCTGATGGAACCGAAATCAAGAAAGGTGACTATGTCATCTGGTGTCCATGGGCACAGGGTCGTTCAGAAAAGGTCTGGGGTGCAGACGCAAAGGCCTTTAAGCCAGAACGATGGATTACTCAAACAGGCGAACTTCGCAGAGAGTCACAGGGCCAATGGCCTGCTTTTCATGCTGGCCCTCGTGTCTGTTTGGGTCAAAACTTGGCAACACTCGAGGCATTAGTGGCTCTTGTGTTTATCGTCAAACGGTATAAGCTCACACTCACTCCTGGTCAAAATATTACCTATCAAGTATCGTTAACTCTGCCTATGAAAGACGGCATGAAGGTTCAAATTGAGAGACGTTAAAGCTTTTATAATTATAATAATAATAAAATGGCCCATGTCAAATTAATTCCGCCTATGTTTAAAGATAGTGCTTCATACTTGCATCATTGCCTCTACTATCGGAGTTGGATAAATATAAATTTAAGACACAATAGACTGCATCTTGCATTTTTATTATTCATCATGCCTCCAAGAATACCAGATATTGTCAAAGTGCGTCAGCTTATTCCTCCACTCAGTAAAAGCATGCACAAGGGACAAGCAGGTAGGATGTAATAGGATGCTATGGGTATAACATATACTCAAAACTCTAAAAGGAAGAGTTGGCGTCGTCGGCGGTTCCGAAGAGTAAAGAATGTTTTAAACAAAAAGAAAAGAAACTTATGTCTTTATAGTTATACTGGAGCTCCTTATTTTAGTGCAATTGCTTCCATGAAAGTGGTATGATGTTTGTTCAACTTTCTTTCTTTCTTCCCTAATCTTGACATGTCATAATAATAACAGGGTGTTGACCTTTGTCACGTCTTTTGCGAACCTGGTGCTGGTACTGTCATAAAGGTAAGTAAGCGATATTTATATAATAAAAGTAGCTGACGCTTTATGTTCATATAGTCGTATTCTCCAGGTATAAAATGACACAGTACAAAACAAAAAAGAAGGAAAACACTGAAAATAAAAGAACGGCCATAGATTTAATTGTTCACCCTTATATGAGAACAAAGGAAAAAGTGGACTCAAAAGACGCTAGCTTAAAAGACATAGTCGATCGAGTCTCTAGTGTCTTTTCTAGACTACATGTTCTCGTCGTTGGTCCTGGGCTATCAAGGGACGAGCTTATGTTGGACTCTGCAAAAGAACTCATTTACAAGGCTCGAGAAAAGGATATGGCCATTGTTATTGATGCTGATGGGTTATACCTGGTTCAGCAGCATCCAGAAACGGTAAAGGATTACAAAAAGGCTGTATTGACGCCAAATGTGGTTGAGTTTCAGCGATTATGTGAAAAGATGGTAAAGAGATACGCGATGAATAAAGATGATTATGTGACTAAAACCCAAAGTATATAGAACATTAATGCTAAAGCTCATCCCAAAGATGAAGTAGCACAGCAACTTAGTAAGGCCTTTGGAGGTGTCACCATTGTTCAAAAGGGATCTGAAGACTACATTGCTAATGCAGATCAAGGTAGCTTTTATATCTCTTTTATTACACTCGAAAAGATACTGAAACGCTTATAGTGTTAAAGTGTGATGCCGAAGGTGGTCTCAAGCGAATGGGTGGTCAAGGTGATATTCTTACTGGTATCATTGCTGCATTCTTGGCTTGGGGAAAAGGATATGAAGATGAAGTTTGGGAGTATGTGTGTTGTTTTTTATGTATTCCATATTCTCACTAATATATATGACATAGACATCCTCATGAAGTTGACGGTAAGGATATTGCCATGTATGCTTCATGGGCAGCATGCACTATTTCAAGAACCAGCTCTCGTTTAGCCTTTCAAAAACACGGTAGAGCTGTACTAACTAGTCACATGTTGGAAGAAATTGGACAAAGCTATGACCTTTTTGTTAACGATAAGCTGTAATGAACGCATTTTGATCTTGCTAAATTAAATAATGATTTGCTATCTGAGCTCTAAATGCTTTTTCTTTAAAGAGGTGACCGTCGCCTTTGCTCTTTTTCTTTTCTTTAATAAAATGGATAATAATGATACAAAAAACTTGAAGCCTGATGAATATACGAAAGGATTAAATAGAGAGCACATCATCAGGTTAACAGAGGAATCATGTAAACATTTTGTAGAATATACAAAAGCTGAGTTAAAAGGTATGATGTATGCTTCAAACGTTATATAATAATTTCCCTTTATTTTTAGTTACTGTCGAGGATTGTAAGTTGCTAGAGAATATGAATCATATCACCAAAGAGAAATACAGTCAAATGAATCAGATGAGTCAAAGAATTATGGGTGAAATATCCAAACTACAGAATACATGTATGCAACACTCTTTTAATACAACATTATATTAAATATCACTTTATTAGACGATCAATTCGATCAATTTATTACCCAAGTGGATGATATTCATCAACAATCTATCAAGATTGAAAATACTATTAAAGCATTAGATGAATACTCAAAGCATTTAGGTATTTTCAACCTTGTGTCATATTTGCTCATTTCTAATGAAATGTTTAGAAAACAAACTATTAGCAAATTACTCTGTCAGTACATCCAAATAAACCCTACAAAAGAGAGCATAAAAATAACATGTTTCCATTTGATATCTTGTCAAAAAGAATTACAATTCTGCCAACTGTCATTCATGGCCACAAGTTAGAAGTTGATCCTTTCAATGTACAAACCTTGAACTGACTTGAGCTGATTTACCAAAGTCTGTTTTATTAAAAATAGCAATTTACTCGTAAACTCTTTTTATTTACCATATCAATGTTCCTTATTTCACATTATCATTTCCATCAAAGAATATCATTTGTCTGAAAAGACAATATGTTAGAGCAGACCTTACTTGGGCTTACTCTTCCCCTGATAACAACAGGAAGCAGATTAATATGGCTTCATCAGCACATAAATTGGCTGATACAGCATAATGACTGGAGAAATGTGTAGTACACATCCCTATCATGCATCGTCAAGTTATACAGCCTCAGGAGAATAATTTCGACGTAGGCTCTATGGCAGATGAAGACGCAAAAGATGACATAGATGTTTGCATGAAGGAGGCGTCGAGTAAGCGAGAGTACACACTCTACACGGATCAAGACAACGCTAGATTCTTTAAACTGACATTTGTGAAGGTTATGAGTGCTTCAGCTGCTGCAAAACAATTAGGTATTCATGTTTACACAGCTCAAAGATGGGCTCAAATGTACAAAACGGATCCTCATAGTATTTTTATAAAGTATAAGAAAACCGGTCGCTCATGTATACTTCATGAAGAACACAAGCAAGTGATCTTGGAGTACATAGGTGAGAATCCTTCAGCCACCTTGGAGCAAGTAATGGAGCGACTGCTTCAAAAGCTTCAGAATCTCAGGTCTCTAAAAACACTGTCTACAATTTTGTAAGAACTGAATGTAACTTGTCACTCAAAAAAGCCCAATTTCAGCCTGTATATAGGAGCAGTGAAGAAAAAATTCAGGAGCGTTTCGAATGAGTTTGTAAGTGGGAGTGTACGGACATGGACTTTAGAACTAATCGCGTCTTTCTCGATAAGTCTGCATTTCATATTAATTTAAAGCGTAGTATGGCCTGGTCAAAAAAAGGATTGCCTGCTGTGGTCACAGTGCCCAAAACCCGAGCACAAACAACAACGATTTTAGGTGCGATCTCTGCTTCAGGATTAATAAAATATAGCTTGAGATTACCGCAGCCGCCAGCCAAGAAAAGAAAGAGAGAAGGTTATGTTGAGCTAACGAGCACAGGGACAGTAACTGGTCATTATTTTAGCTTTCTGAAGGTCACAATGGATGAAATGGATCAGTACCCACATATAAAATGGTATTATCTTGTTATGGATAGAGCTATAAGACTTCAAAGCCCAGGATTCTGATGTCGTTCAAGCTGAGCAAGCCCTTTCTCAACAGCCAAGCAGCGCCGTATCAGTAGAACGCTTTGGCCGCTTCCTTCAAGCCAGATCTGAACAGTCTGCCGTTCTCGGTCATTTCTATGGACATACCACCACAAACCATGATGATGGATACCCCCTCTTTCGCAAGATCCGTCTTTCAGCGTACGTCAACAAACAACGTGCCGATCAAAAACTTATTCAAGACTTACGCGCCAAGTTTGGAGAAGGCGCCGTGCTTGTGATGGGAAACTGGTTCGCTCCCCATGTTAGGTATCATGAGCCTATCCGTGACCTTGATTTCCGAAGACTCCTCAAGAAACGTGGGTTCCAAGTCTTTCTTATAGATGAGTACAAGGCCAGTAGGTGCTGTCCAGCATGCCACAGCGAAAGCCGCCACATGTTCCGTCGTGTTCCAAACCCACAACCATATCAACGAGAGCGATATTCTACGGTTGTCTGCCATGGTTTTTTAAGGTAATAGTACATGAACTACTTGTATGGCTTTATACTGATTGAATATTGCTTGTAGATGCACCAATCTATACTGTAGGCCTGCCATGACAACACCAGATAGATATCGCTTATGGAACAGGGATGTTGCTGCTTGTCTCAACTATCTACACATCCTTCGTGGGCTTCGACTTAATGGCATGGTTCCTCATAGGTTTCACGGGGTTACTGTTGCTCCTACAAGACGTCGAAGAAGAGCAGACGGTCAGGAGCAACCAAGAACTAGAAGACGCACTGATGATTCTCCGTCCTAGTTATCGCTAGGACATATCTAGATGCCTTCGGGGTAAGTTGTATATATGTAATAGTTTTCTTATATGACTAACTGTATAATTCTTTATATTCTTTTCTTGGTACTTATTACTCTCATTTGTATGTCGCCTCCTTCGCACGTATTTTATTTTTAGCCTTTGCATAAGTACTTTTTTTAACATGCGCCAAATTTTTCTTTCATACACACCATAATTTTATCCTCTTTTTGATATTTATTTTTAATAAAACAGTACTGATCTGAAAATAAAGATGTGGAATGAAAAGGAGTCTCTATTTGATCTTTACAAAAAGATAAAAATTGTAATTCCGCCAGCTGCCGTTAGTGAGTGAATATGAGTCAATAACAGTATATCTTCTTCTTCTCTCGCGCACAACTTTTTTTTTTATTTTATTCCTTTTTATCATGTTGGCACGCTACTTGTCTCGATCTCAATTCAAATCTCTGGTAAAGAACGTAAACTGTTCCCCATGAAAAAGAACTTTGGAAAATTAATCATTTTATTAGAAAAGCTATTCTACTTTATCCACTATTCAACCTGTTAAACAAGTAAGCCATAAAATTTAACTGATTCCCAATCATCTAACCCTTTTTTTTTGAATATACTAGCTAACACATCCTGACACCGATGTACCTCAATCAACCTTGGACACCATCAAAGAATACGAGCAATACACAGTAACGGCTTATGCTCGTCCCAGTATCATCATTTCCCACGGTAAAGGAAGCTACTTGTACGATACAAACAATAGAAAATACCTTGACTTCACAGCGGGCATTGCTGTTACTGCCCTTGGTCACTCTGATCCAGAAGTGGCAAAGGTGCTTTACGACCAAGCTAACCAGCTTGTTCACACGAGCAATCTGTATTATAACCCAAATGCAGGCGAGCTTGCCAAGACTCTTGTTGAGACAACAAAAGCACACGGCGGTCAATGGGCACGCAAGCTGTTCTTGTCTAACTCGGGTACAGAGGCAAACGAAGGAGCCCTTAAATTTGCTCGAAAGTGGGGTAAACAGTTCTCGGAAGACAAGACAGAGATCGTATGCTTCACAAACGCATTTCATGGTCGCTCTATGGGTTCTCTCTCTGCCACCTACAATCCCAAGTATCAAAAGCCATTTGCTCCGTTAGTACCTGGATTTGTGACTAGTCCATTCAATGACGTCCATAAAGCGCTCGAGTCTATCACTGACAAAACATGTGGTGTGATCATTGAGCCTATTCAGGGTGAAGGCGGTGTTCACCCTGCGAGCGAAGATTTTCTTGGAGCCTTGCGCCGACGATGTGATGAGACAAATTCTTTATTGATATTTGATGAAATTCAGGTATATACAGTTTTTTCTTTTGAAGACATCTCTAGAAACTCATATATACATCCATTAGTGTGGTTTAGGGAGAACAGGAAAACTCTGGGGACATCAACACTTCAAAAAGGAATGTGTACCTGATATATTAACGATGGCCAAACCCTTGGCCAATGGTGTGCCTATTGGTGCTATTCTTACATCAGAGAAAGTAGGTGATTTGATCAAGATAGGTAATATGAAACAAAGAAAAAAAAATATAGAATACAGTTTTTAATTTTATGATCTCCAGGTGATCACGGTACTACCTTTGGAGGTAACCCATTAGCTGCTGCCGTTGCACTCAACGTGGTCAATCGTATCACTAATTCAGAATTCATTCAATCTGTACAAGAAAAGGGAGAATACGTCAAGAAGCTCTTAAAGCAGATTCAAGCAAGCCATCCTGAGATCATCAAGGACGTGCGCGGCAAAGGTCTTTTGATCGGTGTTGAGTTTACCAAGGACCCCTCACCTATCATCAAAATGGCTCGCGAACGTGGATTGCTTATCGTGGCAGCTGGCTGCAATACTATCCGTATCGTTCCTCCTTTGACCATCACACCCGATGAAGCCTTTGAAGGCGTGTCTAAATTGGCAGGTGCTGTTGATCAATTTGCCCACGCATAAATAATTCAAAGGGCGCATTTTTGCTTTTTCTTTTTGTATTTCCCTTATATATGCCTACGGCTACGACCACAACAGACGAAATAAATTTACATAGACTTTTAATTCATTGTGAAGAAAAACTAAAGTCGCAGCCCGTTGACGCTTGGTCAGCTTTAGAAAAAGCCAAGTTTGCAACAGTAAAGAATGTGTACATGCTTAATAGCTGAATCACTAAATAAATACATATGCGTTTATTAGTATGTGCAATATTTGTCTCGACTACAAAGCAAGATAAAGTAAAGTAAAAATACAGTTTTTCATATTGAAAACAGCAACTAACTCTAAGTAACAGCAATAATACAGTCGTAAAAGATTATGCTTCTCGCATTGCAGCATGTTCAAAAGCAATTTCACAATATAAAGTGGTATATACAGCATGACTTGACAGTCTAGACATGCATCTTTAACGTATTAGCAGCTACAAGTAGATAAAGGAATACAAGAAGCAAGACTCGTGAAAAAGAAACATTTGGAAGAGCTCCAGTTGCTTGAAAAGCCTGAACCAGACTGGTTAATCAATCTAAAAAGACAAGAACAAGAAAAGGCAGAGAAAAAGGCAAGGTTTTGTCCTTTGTACGGAAACAAGCAAAATAATAGTTTTTATATAGGCATCATTTGAAAGAAACAAGACGAATACGCCAAAGGAGACCAAAGAAAATGAGATACGGCAGAGAACAGGAGGCAAAAGAGACGAAACCTTTGACCTCGAGCACGTCCTTCAGCATCATCGACAGATTCATGACGAACTTACGACCGATCTTAGTCGAATGGCAGAACAGTTAAAGAAGAATAGCCAAGCATTTGGCGACACGTTAAGTAAAGATGAGATCGTGTTAAGAGACGCGCAAAAGGCTGTTGAGCATAATCTAAAGAGAATGACGACAGAGAGACAGAGACTAGATAAACACTATTCTAAATCGTGGAAGACAAGCTTTATGACTTTTGGAGTCGTTTTGTTTGTTTGTATCATGTTTATTCTTGTATTCTTTACAATCAAATTCTTGCCAAAGGCGTAGCAGTTATAGAGGGTCTTGTATTTCGTAAAACTTCTTCAAGTATTCCTCTGCTTCTGAATATTCCTTCTTGACTTGTGGTAATAAATCGGCAATACGTTTTAAAGCTTCTTCTTCGGTTAGCGTATCATCCTCTCCTTTACGGTTACCATAGTTTTGGATCTTTTCACAGCTTGCTTGTACTTTTTTTAATCCAATGGCTGCTGAGCTACCTTTCAGAAAGTGACCCAGTCGAGATAATTCTGATAAGTCCTCTTTTTTTCTATTTTTATAAATTAACAAGTGAGCTATACAAATGTTTGTTTTAAATAGTTCTTACAGTGCACGATCCATATCTTTAAATGTCTCATTTGCTTGGTCAAAGTAGTTAACTACAATGCCCTGTGAAAATTCATGATCGTCTTCGTCATCCATTTCTAACAGTTGATCAAATGTGCTCATATCAATAAGTTCATCGATACTCTTCTCCTCAGTCACATCTTGCTGTTGTTCTTCTTTCTATTCACACACACACACGTATTTTTTGTTACTAATTATGATTTTTTTTTTATTTTTTAAAATCACAACCTTTTCTTCTTTTCTTACAGGAGAACTCTCACGGCTTGTCATATTTGCTGTAATATTAAAAACAGAAAAAAGAGAAGACGAAAAGGAAAAAGAAAAAGGGAAAAAATTTTCAGTGGAAAATAAAGTTATATAAAAAAATACGTCATCATAAGGTACTCGCCATTTCTTTAGGACAATAGTGTTCTCTGCTTCCACTCTCAATGACCGACTTTCTGAAAACCCCCGCGCACCTGTGCGAGGCTAGATTGTCCAAAAAAGGAAGCCAACATGATCAGATGTTTGAAAATAAATTGACCGCCTTTTATAAAAAAAGTTGACCAACTTTTTGAATTTTTACAATCATAACTATTGCTCATAGAAATGAACATCTTTCATAAAAATAGAAAGCATTTCTTATGGAAAACACGAAAATGTATAATAATAGAAAGGATTGCGTATTCTTTTTCATCCCACATTTTTTGAATTGCAGCGTCGGAATCACGGGTGACGATATCAAATTTCTGGATGATGTATCAGGACTGATGAGTAAGAGTCGCAAACTCCAATAGATATGTGGATCAAGGTTCGTTTCATCATTATTAGCTCTTCTAAGGGCTGCTTCCACAGAGTGTTTGGTAAAGACTCTTCAATATCATCGGCAATACAGTACATAGACTATCTAAAGATTAACAGCTTACTCAAGTTTGTTGCATTCAGCTTGTTATTGTTTGAAAAAATGCAGTAGGGAGAGCCGAATATTATAAAGTTTGAATGAGAGTTTTATAGGGGAATATTAATGTTGTCAGTATGATTTAATGTGCTCACTGCGATTATTTATCATCAGACGCGATAAAAGAAAGTAGAATGTACGCTCCACTGTAAAATTATACTCGAGTTTTTTTGTTTTTTTTTTAAAAAAAAAAAGAGCAGCTATACCAAGTTCCCTGCTAAGCTATTCCCCTCTATCTGATTAATACTATTGGAATCGATGCCGCTCCTGAACTACTTGCTCTACACCAACGATTTTAGCAAACCTAATGTAAACTCCTCTTAGCTTAGTTGATAGTGATAAAGCGTGTAAACTTTAAGTTGTCAACACAATGTATGGACTCCTTCTTTGAGAGAGAAGCCTCTGTTTATACACGACAAAGCATAACAAGCTCAAGGGTAAAACCATGATATTCTTTCATTGGCTAATACTATTTCACCTGTTAGGAAATATATTCAAAAAACGTCTACATGATTTTATCTTGTTCACAAAAAAGAAAAGTATTAAACGCACTAGAAACAAGCCATACTGTGATAAATTTAAGGATTCAATGATCTCACATCCTTTCTATTTCAATGTGTTGCTTTAGTTAGGCTATATTTAATCTATTGTAGGTAGTACCTGTGGTCAAGAAATAGTTTTTATTTTCTCAAGTTCAAAGGAAATTGATTATGTAAAAACTTTTCAGCTGTGGCGCTAAAGAGATACTAAATAGAGATAATTTATCCCTGGCAAAAACAAAGGAAACAATGAAGTATAGGAAAGACCAGTTTGATACTTTACAAATCACGTAGTTTCTGCCCCTGAAGGACACGTTATCAGAGCACTCGCTATCCAGCTTCTTGTAGACAGAAGAGAGGTTGTCCTGAGCTTGGTATCGTTTCTTGCCTCGATTCAAGGAATAGAATAGTCAACAAAGACATCACGGTGTATGTTCTTCTTCAGGATGTACTTGTTGATCCTGTAATTTATCTGTGCATACCATTCTTTGACATGTAGTTGTTATATTTTAGCACTGATATTGACTTATAGAGCATTCAAAGAGCTTATCATAATTTGTACAGTACCTGTCCAAATTATACTGTACATGAAAGAGTCTGTAGACAGAGTGACATCATACTAATAACCTGTGCTACAATGTAGTGTATATTGCTACTTCTTATTTTACAAAATAAAAAGATATATTTGGAAGTTATTGTTTAATCATAGTCCATTTCAAATCAACTATTCAACCAATCAAAAACTTTTTTTAGGAACCAAGTATCTGGCTAGACTTCAATTACTTTATATAAAGCCATGCTGAAGCTTTTCATCCGTACAGGTAAGTCATATATAACGGACACAAAATAAGATATGTCTAAACTGTCAAATGTTGTCTCTCTATTTTAGTCCTGAAGCCAATAATATTATTAGGTCCGGCAAAGGAGTTTCTCCCAAACCTCACCTTGACCGCAATTTATATAGTCAATATATGGAAGCTCGTAATGCAATCATAAATTCAATGCCTCAAAGCTTCCATCAATATATCGACGCATTTATAGATTCTGTAAGTTTTTATTCCACATAACAAATCGATACAAATTATTTTTATTTATTAACGTTTTACGTCTAGAACGACTTGAAAGAGGCAAAGAAAAAGATTAGACCCCTTTCCTTATTATTATCAAAAGATGAAGAAGATCATGATGACACTACTAATTTGGAATTCTTGGAACATATCTTGAAGGAAGCGTAAGCTGAATAAAATTTATGAATATCGCGTAAACGTCTAGTAATTTAACTCGTGCTTTTATAGTCATAAATCATATTCCAGCCATATTGATTACAATTCTAGTGAGGATACATTTAACCAGCTTTTTATTTAGCCCTACCTTAATGTCATTGCTAAAAGTATCACCATTGATGTCTGTAATCCGGATTTCATACAAGGCCAGCCATATTTAGAAAGCATGAGTCGACAACTTAAGGTCGTTAGCCTTTATGTAGATGATAAAAACCAGTATAAATCTGACGGATTGGTAAAACTTTTTTGGTTTAAACAAGTTAGAACTCCTACTATTAGAGACGTCTGGAAGCTTCTCAAATAAGGATAAAAATAAAGGGAAACTTGATCATCATAAAGGCGTATATGGAGCATTAGCTATGCTCAAATGCATAGTTGATGATTACCCTTACGCCACACTGAAAGCATTTGCCAAGGTGAAGGTATTCTTCCTTCATGCAGCTGGTAAAGTTTTGATGCATGAAAATAGTACAATATATATCTAATTTTTTTTATTTTCAAACAAACATAGAAACCGAATTGCACTTCTGGAGTGTATACTACCAGAATGGAGGTGTATTCGACCTCTGGAGAGAGGCAAATATTCAAGTCAAGCCAGACTTTCAAGACAAAGGAGATTTTTCGCCTGATTTAGTTCAGTTTTGCTGAGAGGTTAAGGTAACGATCTCTTGTGCTTACGCATACAACAACACTAACAATATTGCCAAAATAGCGTGAATTGAACGAGTCCATGAAAAACATTATGGCTCTTAAAGAAGAGCACAACACTGAAAAAACCAAGTATAGATACAGTTCTGTGAAGCCTAATCGCTTGAGCAACATCATCAACCCAATCATATTAAAGTTGACAAAGGAAGAAGACTACTCGAAAATGTCTACTTTGGGCCCTTGCTACTCCACTCCCACCCTTAATATCATTTCTTAGATTTTGACACTTTCTTTCCAGTCGTTTATCAATATAAATAAATAAACTATTTGTTTAACAACTATACAATGTATTTGAAACGTTTTTTGTGTGTACTGTTTTTATTGGTGAAAAGTATGCCAATCTTAACAATTCAAAATATAACTGACAGACTTTGTCAAAACTTTCCCGAGCTCCAGGTTACATCTCGAACGATCGCAACCTATATGAAGAAAAAATGCCATCTTACTTATAAGCGTATTCACTCACAATTACACCAACGAAATACCCCAGACACCATTACTAAGCGACAAGATGAAGTGATTTCTTGGAAGATGGAAGGGATTGATTTTATGGGAGGCAATGTGTATTTATTGACGAAGGGGTTTAATCAAAACATGCATCGTTTATATGGTGAGCGAAGTCGAACCTAAAGGTCCGAATATTACTATTTTAGGCGCCATCACCAAAGATGGTGTTATTGGCTTTTAAGAAAAGAGATCATCCTTGAACAACAACTACCCACGGCTGGAGCAAAATGCCAAAGATCAGAAAAATGATCTGTAAAAAGAAAAGGCATCAATGGTAATGACTTTCTAGAATTTATAGAGCAAGTACTCACCGCAATTGACATTGCTGGTTTGAAATACAAGTATTTAGTTCTTGATAATGCTACTATTCACAAAACTCTGTATGTTAAAGATTGAATTCGACAACGTGGATACGAAATAATCTATTTACCATCCTATTCTCCTTTTTTAAATCTTATAGAGGAGTTTTGGTCCAAGCTAAAAAGTGTAGTAAACAAGGATCCAGCATCAGTTAGAAAAAAAAATACAAAACTCAGCGAGCACATCACCAAAGCATCAAAACATATCAGCAAAGAAAATTGTCAAGCTTGGATTGAGCATTCATTAACATTCTGGGACAGATGTACAGCTTGTGAAAAGTATCTGTAAAATGAAACAAAGACGTTGCATATTGATCTAAGAAAAATGAGAGAGTAAGGCACCTGTCCGGATTTTATTTTTAATATATTACAATAAACTTTGTGTTTTATTGGTTGTTTTTAACCACATACACTTAATCTAACAACAGAAAGTAACTTCATCCGGTTTAGAGGTATTCTTCATTTTTTTATTTTATAGAAGATAAAAAGTGTATATTTATGACTTGATCATCAAGTCGTGCGCGAGGTTACACGCTTGTTTAGACTACACTCACTTTGTTTTTTTCTGTAAAAAGGGTAGAAATCAGAAAAATCTTAGGAGAAGCTAGATATATAAAGGAATACAAGGCGGATTTATTAAACAGAATAATGATTTTATTATTTACAGTACAAAGTAGAGTCTTTCTCTACTTGAAACCGCGTGTATTACAAATTACAAATACGTCATATGTTACACGCGTATTTAAGCACCCAAACCACGGCGTTTGGCCCTGACCACCGCCTTGATGGGTTCTTTAATACCTCCACCAATCGAATCGCCTTCTTTCCATCCCATGGCAGATAACATACGATGACCAATATTGTTGGATGAAATAGGCTGTGCATCTGATGCAACCATTTTACCATGCATCAAATCATTCTTGGTTGATCTCTTCTGTACCTTGGATTTTAACACGACTGGCTTTTTATTCTTCTTATTACCAGTGTATTCCTTGAGTGAGGTGAGTGAATTGGCTGTTTTTCTGAGTAAAACTGTAGTTCCTTCAGATTCAGTCTCTAACCGAAATATTTTTGCAATCTTTGGAATGACACTTGTACGTCCATAAGGTGTCGTATGGTATAAGTGGAGGCTAATGCAATATTAATACGATACATACTTGAACAGTCTATCATTTACCTTGCAATGTCACTCCTTTGAATCAATTCTTTCAACACGCTATATATAAACTATGTAAATATCACACATGTTTGCTTATGTATATACAATAACATACTGATCCATAAAACTCTGTCTTTTCATTTTTGGTTTTCTTGATTGCTGTTGTCTTTTAGCTCTCTCGTATTCCTTTTTGATTTCATTACGTTCTTGATGTATCATCTTCATATAACTTGCTCTTAGAGCATCTGGAACCTGATCTAAATCAAACACATCGTCCTCGTCTAAATCTATATCTTCATCATCACTTTCGACTTGATTTGTACAGACATCCTCAAATAGAACTGCTTTTAGCATATCAATATCCTCTATCTCATCCTCACTTCTTTCTTTCTGTCGCATGTCTACCTCGGCCCAGTGAGATAGAGCACTGAGTATTTCAATATCCTCACTACTGCTGATCGATATATGATCATCGTCATCATCACTTGAACCCAAATATATAGATTCATCCTTGATAATTTTGCGTTTTTTATCTTTCTTTGAAGCCTTGTTTGTGGGTTTGTTGCCAGTAGACTTAACTGCTGGTGTGTCATCGTAGTAAATAGGCTTAATGTCTGTGCTTGAACTAGTAATATTTGAATCAATAAAGAATCCAAGCGATTCGGTATCCCCAAGATCTAGAGTTGGATTAGCAGTAACACATTGGCTATATGTGGCAGTCATTAGCTGCTCTCTTGTCACAGTAGCTGAAGAACATAATTTGGGTTCGTCAGAAACAATAAAGACTAAATCATAAAGTCAATATATACATATATATATGTGTGTCTTAAACAAAGGGTTACTCACCTTCTTCGTTTGTATTCTGTTGCTCAAGTGGTTGTTCTTGATCACTGTCACTATGAACATAGTCTCCAGTATACTCTCTGATTCCTTTCCTTCGCAAAGATCCTAATCTTTTGCTCTTTTTATGAATCTTCTTTTGTTTGTTTTTAAAAGAAGGCATAAAAAATGAAAACTCAACAGTGTATTTCCTTTTTTGGTTTATAATCGCTTCCCCTCACAAGAAAATAAAGAGAACAGAAAAAAAAAAGTAAAAGATCCTCAGTTCTTCGATGTATTTATTCGTCTTTAGGGTACTAAACATCGTTTCCTTCCTCCCCTTCTTTATATAAAGAACAAGATGCAAAACATAGACAAGGCTCATATCAATATTCAAATGATTTTCATTGGCCCAAAACACTCTGTGGCTTTGGTCGAGCTGGATTTTATTTTTGTAAGAGAACATACATACACGACCCTTTGAAAACCTTTTTTTTATATTTATAAAAAACATGGCCAGCCTTGAGACCGAACCACTTCAGACCATTCAATTGGACGGCTTGGTAATTAAAAGCACATAAAAAGAACAGAACAAAAGGAAAGGAATCTGACATGGAAATATTAGGTTGTTTTAAAGATCATTAAGCACTGCCGAGAATCTTATCCTAATGATGTCACTGGTCAACTTCTTGGTTTAGATGACAAGGGTGTTTTGGAAGTGACCAACTGCTTCCCTTTCCCTTCTGACGGTGATGAAGATACAAGTGGTAGATCAGAAAAAAAACTTATTAAATCATATTGAGACTAATATCTTTTTTTTTACAGCACAATATCAACTTGACATGATGCGCTGTCTTCGTGCTGTTAACGTTGACAATAATACCGTAGGCTGGTACCGTTCTGCTCATTTGGGAAGTTTTGTTGACCTTAGTTTAATCGAGACCCAATACAACTATCAAAACTCGCTCAGTGCTCAGTCAGTTGTGCTTATTCATGACGTCTCAAAGAGTGCAGCTCAAGGCAATTTGAGTATCAGAGCCTTTAGATTAACAGATGCCTTTATGAAAGCATATGAAGCCAAAAAGTTCACAACAGAAAGGTAAAGAAAAGAAAAAACAGAAAAAGTATCATTCTAAACCTAGTTAATATAGCCTTGCTCAAGCAAAACTATCCTTTTCAACTATTTTTGAAGAATTGCCTGTCCAAATTCGTAACTCTCACTATGTTACTTTAATGCTTCACAACATCGAAATGCCCAAGTTAAATGCGGATCGTCTTGGATATCTGTCAACCTTTACCTCCAGCAAAAAGACTCAAACTGAATTGGAAGAAGCACGACCCTTGGCACCCAATTTCGACGTTCTTGATTTAGAACTGGATCCCTTCATGCAAAAGAATCTCCAATACTTGTTGGATTGTGCAGAACTTCAACAACAAGAACAGTATAACCATCAATACTGGAAGAAGGCAGTTGCCCGTGAACAAGGCAAGATGCAAGCATGGTTGACAAAGAGAGTAAGGGAGAAAGAAAAAGAACAAGAAAAGATGTGAATTAACTTTGTATACAGAAACAGGAAAATGCTGAGCGTATAGAAAAGGGTCAACAACCTTTACCTGAAGATGAGGTCAATACATTATTTAAGCTTCCACCTGAACCAAGCCGTTTGGATTCAATGATCTTGAATGCACAAATGCATAACTTTACTAAACAGCTGAATCAGTTCGCTGGACCCAGTCTTACTAGATTGTATAGTATACAAGAATTACAAAAATAAATTCCACAGAGATCATTTTTATCTTTGTATTAACTGAAACGTTAAATGTATGATGATATGTTTTATTTGTCGTCAAGGGCAACCTATTGGTAACACGGGAAACAGTTTCAGGTTTATTAGTGTGTAAAATGCATTGATAGTTTCAAGAAACATCATATCTTTCTTTTCTTTTTTTTTCATTATTGATATGAACATTATAAACTTGTTGAATCATCCACAACCCTCAAGAGAACATAAAGAGAAGGCATATCCCTGCATATTTCATGGTTGTTGTAAACAGTTTTCCAGACGATCGGATTTATCTCGTCATCTTAGAATTCATACGGGCGAGCGACCGTTTCGATGTCACTGGCCAGGCTGTAGTAAGCAATTTATTCAACGATCTGCCTTGACTGTACACTCGAGAACACATACAGGAGAAAGACCGCATAGGTGTGAGGTGTCATCGTGCAAGAAGGCATTTAGCGATGTGGGTTGAAATGGATAATATCCCTCTTTTGTTCTAATCCGTTAGATAGTCTTCCTCTCTTGCTCGCCACAGAAGGACACATACGGGAAAACGACCCTATGGATGTGAATGTGGGAAATTCTTTACACGAAAATCCACTTTATCTAGACATCAACAGCAATCTAATCATCAATAGACAAAAAACAAGAGCGTAGTCAATCATCTGATAATCATTTCATAATAGCGTTTTATAATATGTTTATGACGATACCCCCGTCCGAGCTTACTGTGAGACGATCACACCTATAATTAAATAAACAAGGTTTGACCATTCCAAGTAAAAGCGAAAAAAAAGTGTGGTCCGTGATCCTACCTATTTTCGGAGTGTAGACATAAAGTTGACACCTTTACCCAATCTATTTTGTTTTTAGAGAGATCATGAGCACTTCTCACGCCAACCATGTTGTAGAATATTTACTAGTAGAACAGAATGTTATTGTGAAACACGGTATATTAGAATATTTATTGATAACGATATCAGGAGAGAAAGGGGAGAGAAAGACATTTTGTGTACATGTCTTTTTTTTTTTATTATTGTACAATCGATTTTCAGGAGAGAAAGAGTGAAAAAAAAGGGGGAGTCTATATACAGCAAATGGACAACAAAAAAAAAATTTTACAAGACTTGAGCAGCGTGGGCTACACCTTCACTGTACCACACGATGATACCCTTTCTTAATTCTTTTTGCCAAAGGACACCTTTATACTGGAATGTCCAGAAACTCCAAAAGATGATCATGATAAGACCACCAATGGTACTGATCCACAGTAACTTTAAAACATGATGGAATTGAAGCAAGTACTTGAATGGGAATCCATCCATATAGGCTAATCCAATATAGACTAGCCCCCAAAAGGAGCCTGTACCGAGTAAACACCAGATACGAAAGGCCAGTAGTCGTACACTGCCCAATTCCCAAAGGCGGAGTGGCCTGTGTGTATCTAGACGATGTGTGGAATACAGGTTTTGATCCAGTCGACTCACAAATTCCCAAACGATGATTCCCCAGGCGTTTCTTCTTTCTAACATCAGTAGCCAAAACAATAAGCCTGTTGGATTGGAGAAATCACTTGCAGCGAGCCTTTCAGAGAATAGGAATTTGCCTAATAACCAACCAGTGCAGTATAACCATGTGCCATAGACAACGCAGTGTTTTTCGATATTTAACCAATTGAATAGATGTGCTGTTAGATGTGTCAAATGGAATATCAAATGAAAGAGAATAAAGATAGGTGGGAATGTCTGTCTCCATGGGAATGGTTGGCGAAGAATTGTATAAATAGATAGAATAATGATCGATAGTGTAAGGGTATACGTCAATTTGGAATAAGATATTTTTCTATTAATAAGTTAGTCTTTATTTATTCATAGTAGGTGCGTTGTGTGTGTGTATATGTGTGTATCTTTACAGTGTATGGTTGCTTTTTAGAATTGGAATTTCAGGTTCATTCGAATGAGCTTCTTTGTCTGTATATGGTCTTTCGTCTGTATGGTATCCTTCGTCTGTTGAGCATGAGTCAAATGAATATTTCATTGGTCTCCAACTAAGTCGTAAAAATGTATCATAGTAAGGATCTACCATTCTTTTGTTTATTTACACATTCACAACAAAAAAAAAGAAAAAGAAAAGAAATAAAAGAAGTGCTTATTTTAACATTCAAAAAAAAAAAAAAAGCTTGACACGTGAAAGTTAATATTCCAAACATGTTTTATTTAAGACACATGAAATTCAATCTATTTCCATAGTGTCACCATAGAAACTCCTTTTTTTTATTGAATCAACACAGATTATATTTGCGTACACCGTTTCAATTCAATAGTTATTCTTTTACATTAAACAAAACTCATCCATTTTTCCAAATAAGGAAATCAATAAAAGAGAGATAGAAAAGAAATGTACTCCTCCTTTCCTTCCCCCTTGATTCACATGGTGTATCGAGGAGCGTATTTCACATGCAATAGTTTATGAAGAGGGTTTATTATTACAAATAAGAAAAATTTGATGCCAGATCAGAAAACAAATCAGGTCTTTCTTTTAGTACTTTTTGAAGTCATGACATATGCTGATTGAGGAGCGAATTTCTTGATAGCAGCTATCAGTTCGGGAAATCTGAGGGGCTTAGTTACATATTCATCCTAAGATAAAGAAGAAAAATTAGAATTCGTATCACAGCAGAGAGAGAAATAATTACCATTCCAGACTGTAAGCACTTTTCTCTATCACCAATCATCGCATGGGCAGTCAGTGCAATAATAGGAATATGGGAATTACCGCCTGATAAGTGTTCGATTTCACGAATCTTTTGTGTTGCTTCAAAGCCTCCCATAATAGGCATCTGAACATCCATCAAGATCAAATCGTACTTTCTATTTTCAAATGCTTCTACTGCCATTTTACCATTGGATACAATTTCTACTTTATGACCAAACTTTTCCAAGATTCGTACCGCGAGTTTCTGATTGACAATGTTGTCTTCTGCGAGCAAAATGTCAAGAGACATGGGCATATTCGAATCATTAGGTAAAGTCGCGTGACTTTCCAGTGCGGGTAGTAATGTATAGGCTAGATCGGAAATTGTGATGGATGAATTAATGTAACCAGTAATACCAAGATCAATACACAGCTTCATATTCAAGCGAAGTATTTCAGGTGCGATCAATATGATGGGTGTGTATCTCAAGTGAACAGCCTCTCGAATCTTTTCCGCGTATGTCATGTTGTCTACAATCACAGTATCAAAAATAGGTGATTGCTTGTTCTTGCTCACAATCTTGGCTGCTTCAGATATATCTGTAATTCGATAGGGAACAAGTCCAAGTTGCTCGATCTTATCGGCAACGTCCTTACTATCACCCAAGCTGTCAAGGAAAAGTACATTTCGCCCCTTGAATCGTTTGATCTTTTCAAGTGCGTCTTCCTCTTCCATCGCATACCGCTTGAACTTGAGTGTAAAGTAAAACTGTGATCCCTTGCTGTAGATTGATTTTACCCAAAGTTCGCCACCCATCAATTGAACAAGACTTTTAGATATGGACAGACCAAGACCAGTGCCACCATACTCTCGACTATAAAGCAGGTTATTGGGCGTCATTTATATTTTTTTGACTCACTACTTACGTTGTACTACCGTCAGCCTGGCAGAAAGTGTCAAAGATTACATTGAGCTTATCCTCTTGAATGCCAATACCCGTGTCCTTTACACAAAGCTCCAGTACGATATCATCGCCGTTCAGTTCCACAATACGCGCTTCCAATGAGACCTCGCCCTTGTTTGTAAACTTGATTGCGTTGCCAATCAAGTTGGTGATGACCTGCCTTAGTCGAAGAGGATCACCAATCAGCTGATCAGGAATAGCACAGTCTACGTTATAGATTAGATCCAACTTCTTCTGATTTGCCTTGACAGCAAGTGTCTTGAGTACGCTGAAAATAGCAGCTCGAAGAGAGAACGGAATGGATTCGACAGTCATACGACCTGCTTCAATCTTGGAAATATCCAGAATGTCATCAATAATGCTTAGCAAACTATTTGCAAGACTGGACACAATCATTAAGTTTTCTCGTTGCTGACGGGTCAGTTCTGTTTCGAGCGTAAGTGAGGTCATACCAATGATACCGTTCATGGGTGTCCTGATTTCATGACTCATATTAGCCAAGAACTCGCTCTTGGATCGGTTTGCCAGTTCAGCGGCCTCGCGTGCGAGTCTGTTCTTCTGGATAGCATCTCTTAGTGAATTGACCATTTGATTGATCTTTGTCTTGAGCGAGTCCATTTCACCTGAAGCTTCAACAGTGATCAATCTTGAAAAGTCATTTTCGGTAGCGGCAGCAGAAATTTGAGCAAATGCACGAACTTGTGTCGTTAGATTAGAGGCCATGATATTTACATTACTTGTAATATCGCGCCAGAGGCCTTGGATATCCTCTACTTGAGCTTGTACACCAAGTTTACCTTCTGTACCAACTTCCATGCAGACACGCTTCACCTCAGAAGCAAACGAGCTGAGTTGGTCCACCATTGTATTGATCGTCGTCTTCAATTCGGCAATTTCACCATGTACCTCAACCTCAATCTTCTTTGAAAGGTCACCCTGTGCTACTGCCTTACAGACAGCTGCAATAGATCTCAACTGGTCAGTCAAGTTGCTGGCCATCAAATTGACATTGTCTGTCAAGTCTTTCCATGTCCCGTCTACACCAATTATCGTCGCCTGGCCGCCCAATTTACCCTCGGTTCCTACTTCACGAGCTACACGCGTGACTTCAGACGCAAACACACGAAGCTGGTCTACCATACTATTTACTGTGATCTTGAGCTCAAGGATTTCACCACGTGTCTCGACATCAATCTTCTTGGATAAATCACCTCGTGCAACGGCCTTGGTTACTTCTGCAATCGAACGTACTTGAGTGGTTAAATTGGCTGCCATTTGGTTGACATTATCTGT